AGATTTCCTTAAAAGGCAAACTTTCATTCAAATAAATACACCCACTACTTATTATGGGAGGCAGAACAGCAATATAAAGGCCGCAAGAGAATCATGGGGTTCTATATTGCAAGAACATTTCCTTTGGGTCAAACTTGATTGAATTAGTCAAGCTTGTGACTGTTTCCTGTATTGCAAGCATCAGGTAGGGCTAATTATTCATATTCTGGTTGAAATTCAAAATCCCAAATTCTTTATTATATGATCCCTTGACAATACCATAGGATGTTCTATTGCAGTCATGAAATGTGGGGCTTTATCAAGAACAAGAAAAAAAACTTGCAGCATTACATTCTTATAGTGAAAGGAAAAATTGCTGGAAAAACTCATCAAGTCAGTCATCGCTGCTGGAGACAGAAACAGTGAAAGATTTCAGCACAAGGACGTGTCATCATAAATGATAAACAATTTGAGATGGAACTGATTTGAAGCAATGGCAGAAGTGTAACAAGGGTAGATGGAGAGGATGGTATTGCAGATTAAGAGCAAAGGGGAAGATCTAGAATAGGACAGCAGGCAGACAAGACAAAATGATTAGTGCAAGCCAAATGGAGATAGTATTGAGATAACTGAAGAAATAGAAGGCAAAATGTCAACAGAAATAGCAAAATCAAGAACACCCTGCACCCAAAAAGCTGGAAGACAGAGGTTATGATCTGAATTTGATAAATTAAATGACTTTAGAAGCCTGCCTAACGAGAAGATGATGTGTTATCCTCAAGCTGGCATTGATCTTCAGTAGAACAATGTCGCTGGCCAAGGACAAACAGTTGAGTGGGTTAGAGAATCAGATTAACATGCAACCGGAAGCTTCGGGTCATGCTTGCAGATGGAACACAAGTGTTCTGTGAAGTGGTCACCCAACATGGGATTGGTCCCCTACTACATTGTTCCAATCAAGCTCAATGCTTCAGGACTTCACAATCATTGAAACTTATTCGACAATTGAGGTCTTAACTCCTGCTCCCAATTTTCCTGGCAGTAAAATGTGGGAATGATGTATTTACAATTCCTAATACACACCTTTTATTTAGCATGTCTTATTCCAGATATTTTTCACATCAAACAATATCATTATCTTTTCATTATTTCATCTCCTTACTTTCTACTACATCTCAGCTTCCCTTAACTTCTCTGCTAACCATCCTCACCCCTAGATTTATCCTTCCTCTGCACAAACTTCAAGCCTGTCATGTATCCAACCTTTGCTATTTCTTACAGAAGGCTGACCCCTGAAGTTAACTCTGATTCTCTTGCAAGATAGTAGCTGATTTTTTCCTGTTCTATTTCAGATCCTATTGTTAAGGTTTATTATTATTTGTATTTCAGCTGGAGAGGGTTCATAAGAGATTTATGAGGATGTTGCTGGGAATGGAGAATTTGAGTTATAAGGAGTGGCTGGATAGGCTGAGATTTTTTCCAGTGGAATGTAGGAGGTTGAGGGTTGACCTTACAGAGATTTAGAAAATCAAGATGGGTATAGATCAGGTCAATGGCAGTTTTTTTTTCCCCTAGGTTGGGAGATTTCAAGACTCAGGGGCATATTTTTGAGGTGAGGAGAAAGACTTAAAAAGGACAGGATGGGCAAATCTTTTACACAGGGTGGATCATATGTGGAATGAACTGCCAGAGAAAAGTGGTGGATGCGGGTACAGTGACAACGTTTAAGAGACAGTTGGCTAAGTACACGAATAGGAAATGTTTGGAGGGATATGGGCCAACTGCAGGCAGGTAGGACTAATTTAGTTTGGGATTATGGTCAGCATGAACTGGTTGGACTGAAGGGTCTGTTTCCATGCTGAATGACTATCTGCAGCATTTGCGGTAGTTTGTTTTTGTCTTTGTACCAGATATTTTAAACAAGGTCCATCATCTTGCATGGAAAGTCTAATAGCTCAGCCTTCCCAGCACCACAGAAGATATCCAAATCATGGAGTCATAGCCACTACAACACAAAGGAGGGCATTCAGACAGAGGTTCCATATATTTACAGCAATCCAGTCAGACTTATTTCCTTGCTCTAACACAGTAATCCTCCCAATTTCTTGCCCTCACATGCTCAAGTAATTTCTACTGGCATAATTCCATTATCCCCATTTCCACCCATCTCAGTCAGAACATGACAGTGAGTTACTGATCAGAAAGACTCAAAGACTAAGAAAAAGTATTTGTCACATTTCCACCCCCCCACCACTCCATCGCATCTCTTCCTCTGACGGGCTTTGCTTTTTGTCCACACTGTGCTGTTATATGTTGAATCCCTTCTCCATCAATGGAACAGGCTCAAAGGGCTGAATGGCCTACTCCTGTTGCAGCGATCCTACGTTCCCTGGAGCAACAAGCTGGTCAAGGGCAACAGTGAAGGGGAAATAGGACCACATTACAAATGTGCAGATTTAAGTCCAAGCCTATTAGATGTCAGTGCAATACTGCTTCCCAAACATGTTCAGCACAGAACCACGCCCAACCAAAGCTCTCAAACTGCAGAACTAATCTCCAGCAAGCATTTTACTGTAGTCAGTCTTTCTACCATATGCAGATCTCAAAGGTAAGTATTGAATTTACAGTGGCTAATTAACTACTGAAGCTGTAATCAAAAGCAGCCTGGTTTACGAGGAATAGGTCAGCTCAGTTTTAAAATTTCCTAATTGGAAACAAAATGGTTTCCTCTTCCTTGTGAAGAATAGTTATTACACAATGAGGAATAAATTCCTAAAACAACTTGGCTAAGAATTGGGGGTGGTGAGAAGATGAGAAACTTTCAAAATTATTTTTTTTTTGCCAGGAAGCCAAACAATTATTTACATTGTGATAGGAAGAATGATTACCAATTATTAAATAATCCTTCAATAACTTTATTCAGTGCGAGACTAAATCTGTGACTATTGTCAAATAGTCCCCAGATAGCCACCTTCTTCCCTCCCGAACCACTGCAAGTAAAGTGCTCGTTCCTGTGTTTAATGTGTTAACCATTTTCTGCTCATGGCAATTAACATTTGCAGTGCTGTTGAGTCACCAGAGAAAGAAATTGCAAAACATTTAGCAGAGGCTTGACTGTTGGCAAGAATACCCATGGACACAGAACTCTGGTTTTGGTAGCTTTCCATTTCCTACTTAGACTCCCAGACCAGCTTCTTAAGACCTTCCCAACAGTAAACTACTGATGCCCCCTGTGATTTACAAAGTGAAAGTGGCTGGAGAGGGTTGGGGCAGGGAGGAAGGGGGAGGGGTGGTGGTGTAGTAAACGCATGAAATTCCGTAATTTCCTTCATTCAACAAGTGCAGATAACATCCTCTGTTAAATAGCAAGGTTGAAACCAGAGCCAGATATTGGCCTAAAATTCTTCCCCACTACTGAAATCAAAACGTATGATTCAATATCCACAAATCCTGAAGGGGATGCACACAGCAAGTTTGTTTTCGTAAGTGGTGTCCAAACCCTTTCTTTGTATACATCAAAAATTCTCATATTACTTGTCCATTATTCATTCTGCATGGTTATGTTGTACAGATTGGAGATGAAGCTTACGCAGCAGCACGCCAACTTCAAACAGTTCCTGCAACGTTAAAACGTCTTCCGGTGGATTGCACGTGCTCCATCCTCCTCATACTCTTTCTTTGATACCCACATTCTCTTAAATGTGTCTAAGGAAGCGAGAATAGATCCACTGCAGGAAGACAAGATTTAAAGAAACCTGGTTTTAAAAAGGCAAACTGTGGAGTCAGCTGTCTTAATCGTTAGCAACGCAGCAGATAGTAAAACTTGCTGAAGAAGTGCCTAGCCATACTCAGTCAAATGCAACCTTGCTGCGAAGAGTAATCACTCTCATTCCAACTCTGGAATTTGCCACTTAGGGTCCATGTTTGGACTAAGGTTCTAATAAAGTCTGGAGGCTAAGAACTCCCAGTTGGAGATTAACAGCTATCTAGCAATCTAGTCATTAATGATCGGCATCAGAGATATGAGCTTTTGTTTCCAGATTTAGCACAGTTAATAAATTGAACTCCAAATCTTCCATGGTAGGGTTAAAACTCATGTCCAAGGAACCTCTGGATTACTAGTCCAGTCATCAAACAATTGGGCTACTGTTCCCATCAGATGGGATCAGCAGCCATTTGGGAATCTGCTTCTTCCCATCTGAGGTTTTGGTGGTGCCTGGAAAAGAGATGTCACCCATTTTGTTTTGAAGAAAAAGAAACAAAAAAAACGGAGGCAAAATTGCAAGTGATTGGAACTTTAACTGTGTTTGCACTGAAAGACAGGTTGATCTCACTGAAGGACATTGCATCAATTCATTGACTGCCCCTGGCCTGATATACAATGTCTCCAAATAAGACACATTGTCCCATTAGCTGGACTTACACTCGTTCAATGCGGATAACAAAGAAGTGAGCTGAGGTCATTTGAAATATGTTTGTTTGCTTTAAACAGCCCGTAATTCAGCAATCCCATCTCATATTCCCACAATTCATCCTTCATATATTTATCCGCTTACCCTTTTGAAGGCTCCTTGAGAGGTCACTGGATTGACAGCGTGCTGAATGTTCACACAAAATACTTGGCAGTCAGAGTTCTAAGGTTAGGCTTGACATACTTTTTTGGGACAGAGAAATCTACAATCAATCTGTGCTGCAACTGACCAAGGAGCATTTGGTGCGCAGGGAGAGATGGAGTGTCACAGTGTATTGACCCAGGTTAAATCTATCCTGGGAAGCTGCGTTTGGATAGTCAAGAGGGAGCTTGACCATATTCTGAGTCTGAACTGGACGGAAAATTTACATTCCAAGGGCACAATATCCCTTTATCCATAAAACACAAGTTAAATTAAATCCTCAAATGCCTAAATCCCAACTCATGGATATACTTACCCTATCCATGTGGAGTACAACCTCTCTTGTGGTGCAGAGATCTGCAAAGGAACAAAATTTGTTAACAACAGGTATGCAACTCTAGCACCTGGCTTCTCAACAAGAATTTAAAACCTTTTCTCATACCTTTATTTTCACATCTTTCGGTGCCAATTTCTTAACCTCACTGAGTAACCGGTCACCAAAACCTGAAAAGCAAGGAAACTTAGATTGAAGTTCTTCAAAACATTGCTTTTGGCTCCTCACTGGTTCTTCGATGGCAGCTTGATTTCATGCTAATGGACTGCAAGCAGGTTGTTGCTGTCATAATGACTACATGCAATTTGCTGCTATTATAATGAAACCAAGCTCTCACTTTTTGAGGGGATGATGGTTTGGGGATGAGGAGGGAGTGCAGTAGAAAGAAGGGGGAAAACAAATGTTGCTTTCCATCTAGATATCATGGGTGATTCACATCTACCCTCCAGACATCTAGTCCAGTTTACTGCATTCTTCTGCATTTCCAGAGGCATGGACTAATTTGGATCACAATAAACAGCAAGCACCAGAGATAGTGGGAACTGCAAATGCTGGAGAATGTGAGAGTCTAGGCCCAAAACGTCAGCCTTCCTGCTCCTCTGATGCTGCTTGGCCTGCTGTGTTCATCCAGCTCTACACCTTGTTATCTCAAACAGCAAGCGCCATTTGACACAGTGAATTTAACACATGCAGAGTCTGTGAGTGATCACATGAGCTATCAGTTGAGAACCCTCGGGCCGCACACTCAGAGTACTTGTTTGGGTCAAGCCAAGGATCTAACTTGTCTGGGTGTAAACAACAAAGGTTCTACACAATTGCTACTGGATGGCATGTGACTTTTATATCATCAACACAGATTTGTATTCAAGTCTGAGTGACATGCTGTCTAAACTATTCCCTTCTGAACTCTCCTTGAAGTTCAGTTCCCTGGGTGAAGAGCTCACAGCAGCAAACTGTCTACAATTCATATAAACTTAGGTGGTTAAGGTTGAAACCGAAGCACACAACCATAGAGGAACATTTACACTGCACCTTATGCTTTCTGTAACTGAACCAAGAATGCTTACTGAGCTATTTTCCAATTAGGACCAACAAGTTTCAGCATTCTTCAGCCCTCTAGCAAAACTACAGCCTTCAACCATTTTAGATTTTTCACAGAATTGTGATTCACAGAAGATAATTTGACCCCTGACTGTGTGCCATTCACTTCTCAAAAGCAATCGAGTTAGTCCCATTCCACTGCTCCTTCTCATATTCCCACAATTCATCCTTCATATATTTATCCACTTTCCCTTTTGAAGGCTCCTCTTGAAATCAGCCTCCAATATTGCTAGCTTCAACACTTCACAGCAACATTTTAAAGCACAAACTGAACAGGTCATCTGCTGTTCAACAGAAAACATTTTCAAGGCACCTTTGAACAGGGTGGAACCTCCAGACAGAACTATATTGCAGAATAAAGTCCTGCGAAGGTCCATGTCTGACTTTTGAATAGCAAACGCCAGCACTTCATGTATCCCTTCACTCTCATCTCCAATTAGGTCAGGTTTGAAAAGCAACTCGGGAGCTCGGAATCGGGCAGGTCCCACCTGCAGGCAACCAAAAAATAACAGGTCATAAGTTTTGCATTCATACAGATTTACTTGCAACTGGACTATTTTATGTTATATCTGCATTTTGTTGAACAGCTACTAACTATTTATTGGAAAATGCTAGAAAGCAGCTCTCAGCCTGAATTCAAACACGTACAGGCAGAACTTTAAATCAACTGAACCAGTGGGTACATCATTACATGTGGTGCCAAGCGTTCACACCACAAAAGGTCCCTGGATCAACTCTTTACCTAGGCGGAGATAGTAGGAACTGCAGATGCTGGAGAATCTGAGATAACAAGGTGTAGAGCTGGATGAACACAGCAGGCCAAGCAGCATCAGAGGAGCAGGAAAGCTGACGTTTCGGGCCGAGACCCTTCTTCAGAAATGGGGGAGGGGAAGGGGGTTCTGAAATAAATAGGGAGAGAGGAGGAGGTGGATAGAAGATGGATAAAGGAGAAGATAGGTGGAGAGGAGACAGACAGGTCAAAGAGGCGGGGGTGGAGCCAGTAAAGGTGAGTGTAGGTGTGGAGTTAGGGAGGGGATAGGTCACTCCAGGGAGGACGGACAGGTCAAGGGGGTGGGATGAGGCTAGTAGGTAGGAGATGGGGTTGGGGCCGGGGCCTGAGGTGGGAGGAGGGGATAGTTGGGAGGAAGGACAGGTTAAGGAGGTGGGGACAAGCTGGGCTGGTTTTGGAACCCCTCACCCCCATCCCAGGCCCCAAGAAGACATTCCACATCAAGCAGATGTTCACTTGCACATCTGCTAACATGGTATACTGTATCCGCCGTTCCCGTTGTGGCCTCCTCTACATCGGGGAAACCAAGCGGAGGTTTGGGGACTGCTTTGCGGAACACCTACGCTCGGTTCGCACTAAACAATGGCACCTCCCAGTTCGAGAACCATTTCAACTCCCCCTCCCATTCCTTAGACGACATGTCCATCCTGGGCCTCCTGCAGTGCCACAACGATGCCACCCGAAGGTTGCAGGAACAGCACCTCATATTTCGTTTGGGAACCCTGCAGCCCAATGGTATCAATGTGGACTTCACAAGCTTCAAAATCTCCCCTCTCCCTACCGCATCCCAAAACCAGTCCAGCTCGGCCCCGCCTCCCTAACCTGTCATTCCTCCCACCTATCCCCTCCTCCCACCTCAAGCCCCACCCCCATCTCCTACCTACTAGCCTCATCCCACCCCCTTGACCTGTCCGTCCTCCCTGGACTGACCTATCCCCTCCTTAACTGCCCACCTACACTCACCTTTACTGGCTCCATCCCCGCCTCTTTGACCTGTCTGTCTCCTCTCCACCTATCTTCTCCTTTATCCATCTTCTATCCGCCTCCCCCTCTCTCCCTATTTATTTCAGAACCCCCTTCCCCTCCCCCATTTCTGAAGAAGGGTCTAGGCCTGAAACGTCAGCTTTCCTGCTCCTCTGATGCTGCTGGGCCTGCTGTGTTCATCCACCTCTACACCTTGTTATCTCCTTACCTTGGCAGATACCTTAGATCAAGGCACCAAGCTTAGCTAATGCAAAAGTTAAACACTTCAGTGTTGATGACCACTCACGATGACTATCATCCAATTCTGCTGTGCACATGCAAGTCAGGAAAGGAAAAGGATGGGAGTGATGCTCCCCATTGTCCAACAGCCTATTGATGGTCACCGTCCCAACTTGGACACGAAGAATAACCACTAATGAGTCAGCCCGGTGGCTCAGTGGTTAGTACTGCTGCCTCACAGCGCCAGGGACCCGGGTTTGATTCAACTCGAGTGACTGTCTGTGTGGAGTTTGCTCATTCTTCCTGTGTCCGTGTGGATTCCCTCCATGTGTTCTGATTTCCTCTCACAATCCCAAGATCATGCTAAATTATCCGTAGTGTCCAGCAATATGCAGGCTAGGTGGATTAGCTATGGGAAATGCAGGGTTACAGGGACAGTGAGGGGAGTGGGTGTGTGGTGGGGTTGGGGGTGGGGGGATGGTTTCTGGGTGTGATGCTCTTCAGAGGCTCAGTGCAGACTCAGGTGATCCCAAATGGCCTGCGTCCACAGGGATTCTATGATTCTAGATGGTCAAATTCAAACATAAAGCAACACCCATAACAGACTACTGGAGACAATGGAACAGGATTGATGCTTTAAGGGATCATACCTCTTCTACACTGTGACTAAATAGGGGTACCTTTCTTCCAGCAATACCTCTAAAGTGCTCCCATCAGGCAGAGTGTACTGTGCTTTCTCAGTCTCCAGCGTCTCATCTTTCTGTGGATTTATGGAAAGGTAACAGGCCCGCTGTAAAGCAAGAAACAGGTCAACTCTAAAATAAAGCATGACAATTTCTTGCTGAAATACAAATACATGACAAGATTTATGCGCAAGAAGGCCATTTGTTTACATAACAATGTTACAATCCACTATATGTGAAACCCAACTTAAAGCTGCAAGTGGCTTACAAATGCAATGCACAATCGCTGTGTTGTGGGGTTTGCCAGGTTTGTGAAGATTGTTCTGAAGTACCACATGATTGTAAAGAGAACAAGTATTTGTGGAAACAGTGCTGAAATCACACAAATTGATGAGGAAGGATTGCTGTAAAAACAACTGTAAACATCATATAAATCCCACGTGTGGCATAGTCATCTCACACCAGATAATGTAAACATGGTTCAAAGCAAGGAGCTTGGCTCTACTCTTAGCAGCTGAGCCGCACGAATCTGCTCAGGACTTTGTACCAGATGGATGTACCAGTCCATGATTTTGTGTCTTCTGAAAAGGACAGTGCAGAAAATCAAAGGTCAAAGAGTGCACAGCCAGAAAATTCAGAACCAAGCATACCCTTTCCCACATTGCTGACAATCTATACTGACATGGACATCATCAGTCTAGTACAAGGACAGATGCTTGAATTGACGTCAGTACACAGCACACTGGTGTTTTATTGAATGGAGACCACTTAAGGGAAAATGCTATCGATCATGAACCCACAACTTTAAAGTCGTGTGTGGGGTTTAATATCTCAGTGAAATAAACAGTTGACAGTCTGAAATTGGGGAAAAAAATAAAACAATGGTCATTTATACAAAGGCTCTAATCTCGCACTCCAGTAGACACAGGGAACCAGTACGTGGGATCATCAATTTCTCTACAAGGCACACACCTTCCTGATTTTGCAATGTATTCTCACTGTGTCACAAATCTTGGAACACACGGCTAAGCAGTACTATGTGACTCCCATAGACAGTCAATTATCAAACTCGCCAACATGTTCCTGAACATACTTAGTTTTGGACAATGAATGCTGGTATTGCCCATACCACATTGAATGAATAAACTTTAAAAAGGTGCACCCACCTCCTTAATTGTCTTAACAACCTCAAACTCTGCAGTTGTATGGAAGTCATATCCTTCTTTCCTTAGGAGCAGGCGCAGGTAACGGGACACATCCCTGCCTGCAACATCCACCCTCATAATAGAATGTGGCATGGCAAAACCTTCATAGATTGGGACAGCATGAGTCACACCATCCCCAGCGTCAAGCACGACACCTGTAGTCCGGCCTGTTGCATACCTGCAATTCATACAGGAAACAAATGATCAACAGTTTTAACTGCAGGATCCTGCAGTTAAAACACCAAGAATACTGTCAGAAACTGCTGCCACAGCCAAAAAAAGGATTTTACTTTCAACACAAATGCCTCACTTGCTTTTTCTGTTGCTATGCAGTTCGAAGGCACAAACCACATCAAGTCAAAAAATATCCAAATAATTAATAAATGATATTAATTGTTCATTTGTAGAAACTTACAGACTCAGAACAGCTTGCATCGAGATGAAGAGTGCAGGAACGTTAAATGACTCAAAAAACACCTCCGCTGCCCTCTCTCTGTTTTTGCTTGGATTTAACGGAGCTTCTGTGAGGAGCACTGGATGCTGAAATGAAAACAAAGCATTTTTACCTTGGATTATCCTCAGCATCAAGATAAGCAAATATGAGGTTATCCATTTTGGACCAAAAAAGGCTAGATCAGTGACTTCAGGGGTTAAGTTATGAGGACAGATTATACAAATTGGGCACGTTTTATCCAAAATTTAGAAGAGTAAGGGGTGATCTGATCAAAGTCTTCAAGATATTAACAGAAAAAGAGAGGGTTGATAAAGATAAACTATGTCCACTGGTTGGAGATTCTAGAACAAAGGGATATTGTCTGAGAATCTTGGCCAGACCATTCAGGAAAGATGTTAGGAAAACTTATACACACAAAGAGTGGTAGATGATAGAAACGTTCTTCCACAAATGGCGTAATTCCAGAAACAATTGTTAATTTTACATCTGAGATAAATAGATGTTTGTTAAGTGAAGGTATTAATGGGATATGGGCTAACAGCAAGGATACGGAGTTAGGCCACAGGTCAACCATGATCTGAATGAATGGCAGTAACAGGCTCGAGGGGCTGAATGGCCTACTAATCTTCCTATGTGCCTCTAACAATGGCCACGTTTTGATTCCTCTGTTTCCTGTCAACGGTACTTCATGAGCAGAATTCAAGGCAATCACAATTTAGCCCCAAACAAAGGTGTACAGTAACTTCATGCAAGACATCACTCGTGAAAAACAGGAAGATTATATGTAGGATAACCGGAGACAGAGGCTAACGTGCATTGCTGGAGTAGGAATCTTACAGAAGGCTTTGCACTCCACTCAACCTACGTTAGGAATCCTTCATTGGTATTCTTGAGTGAGCTTTACTTTGCATCAGCACTGAATTATGCCTGACATGCAAGTGTTGAACATGGATAACTGAAATCACAGAACCATACATGATTCAAGGCCATCGGGTCCATTTGTCTTGTGTTTGCTCTTTGAAAGAGATGTCACATGTGACTAATTCCACCAATATTTTCCTAAACTCTGCAACCTTTATCCATTGCAGTATATTTCAGCTTGGTTTGCTTCTGTCAACCTTTCGTGAAGTGCACTTGAGATTATGTTACTGTGCAAAAAATTCTCATCATGTTTCTGGTTCTATTGCCCGTTATCTGAATTGTTACATTTTGATTACCGACCTTCCTGGTTGTGGAAACAGGTCCTTCTTATTTACTCCATCAAACATTTATAATTTTTAACACTTCATTAAATCTTCCCTTAAAAACTTCCGCTCTAACTATAGCATCACCCACTTCTCTAGTGCGTTCTTGTAACTGAAGTCATTGATCCCCAGTTCTTCACTTCAGTTCTCTATGCTTTATTAAGCTCTGAAACCCAGTTTTCTAAATAACAACCAAGTCAACTTTCCCTGCCAGCGAAAGTGCAAAGCCACCCAATTTCCCACACCTTAGTGGGTGCAAATTTCATCTTAAGACACAACATGGGCAAACAGAAGTTTATGTCTTGCTCAAATTCTCACAGTGCTTCTCCAAACATGATTTGCTTCCTCTGTGGTGATCACATTCCTCCCTTTTTCCTGCTCAGAGCAGTTTATCACCCGAGTTCCAGAAGGCTTGTGGTGAGGGTTAGCAGTCAAAGCTGCTCAAGAGACAGCAGCCCAGCAATGACACCTCCAAAGGACTGAATTTCTCAACTGTGGAACAGACTAGAAAAAGAAAGGATCCATAATGTAATGGGACCCAGATAAATGATTTATTATACTCCTCTACACAACTTTATGAGGGAAATGCACTGCTTGGCATGGCAGCCAGCCAGCCTCAAGAATAGTCCCTCAAGGCAGCTGTGTGGCTCTGTTTCTTTCAATGCAATGTGGGTTTGGCAAGTGCCAAATCACCAAAGTGTGCTTATGTAAGACCCAAGGTGGACCCTGCTCACAGTTCACACATTGTATTTAAAACAATCAACTTGACATTTGTTGCACATTTCAAAATCTGTTTAAATCTCAATTAACCAATTTTAGAAAACAAGCAATTAATGGCACCATGTCCTTCCATTGAAGTCTTAATTTCCCAACATTAAAATGAAGATAAGTTCGGTTCTCAAGCACTGAGTTCAACTCTTCCCAAAGAACTAAGACGGAGCCAGGAATTTTAACTAAAGTTGATAGCGCAACCAATCCTGAAGCCTATTCCCTTGCAACTAACCATGTTAAAACCTGAATGTCAAAGGAGCAATCTGCTTACATTACCATAACAGCTTTCGAATGCCTCACAGTGGGGGAATGTGACAGACCTGAGCTGAGGGGGAATGCCAGGACAGGACATGGGTGAGGGGAGAGCACAAGATGGAGCTTTTCAGAAAGTTCTGAAATAACAAGGGACCAGGTGGAGAACTTTGGCAAGAGGAAACCAGTGTGACAACATCCAGTTGAAGCTTTAGTCACTGTTATTAGAGAACAGAGAGGGGTTAGCATAATAATCCAGCAATGGGTACTGGCAGATAAAACAAGAGAAAGCTTAGTAGAAATGAGTTGAACACAAGGGAAGACAGCAATACAAGGATGAAAATCTTGTATTTAATGGCCCAAATGTGAAGATTATCACTTACAAACCTGAAAAATGAATACAGCATGTATGAATGACAGAAATTAAGTTCTGAACGATTTGAAATATGCAAGGGGAAATTAAAATGTATCAATCATTACAATACAAACAAAATAATTGCAGTGTTCTCACTTCCTCAGAGAAGGTCTGCAGTTGGTCCTTGCCATAAACATATTGCCAAATTCTTTCCATATCATTCCAGTCTTGCACAATGCCATGTTCCATGGGATAACGGATCGAGAGCAAACCTCGGTGTTCCTGTTGCAAAAGGGGGTAGAATAACAAGGAAGAGATGACAAAATTAATACACACCAATAAACACAAGACTGAAACATATTCCCCACTGCTGCAGCGCACCAGTGATTCTCAATGTGCTGAATCTTGCAGGTTGTTCGCTACCTTGGGTAACGTTTCCCAACTGTTATTCATGTTGAAATGCTGGATTACACAAACAAGATGTAGGCTGCAGAACCTGAGATGGTCTGCGAGACAACATCCTTTTATAAAGCAGACACTGGATGAGAATCAGGCACCATCAGTGATTGGAAACTTCTCTAGGCCAAGCAAAGTCAGTGGGAACCAGCAAGTAAAAAACACGTTCTTTGTAGCTTACGGTCAATTACAAGACTTATCATCAAAATATACTGATCGTTCCTATGCATCTTTCAGCAGAGCATTTGGAACCAAGGTGCTGAAAGAAGCAGCATTACTATAACTTAACAGTACAGGTGCACACAACAATGGTACAACAGGAAACCAATATATACATTTACACAATAACATCTGAGTATGCAAACATGTACACAGTAAGCCATTGATCTTCTCCGTACTGACAGGAAACTGGTGCAGAAAGGACCCAAAGTAAAAGGAGATTCAAAGAGATTTAGCTGGGTCCCTTCTGCTTCCCATTACCACGGATATCAGCTAGAATTTAATTTACAACCTTCCTTAAATCAGAGAATTAATCATACATTTATGGAAAGCAGTGCCATTAGTAACACTGTCAAGACACAAACTGCCATCCAGCTCTCCTTTGCAAGTTGATGTGATTTAAGCAGTTGATAGACTGATGTGAAGGAAATGATTGCTGAAATTGTTGGAGTCCAGAACAAGCAACACAAACTTGAAAATTAAAGCTGGACCACTTATACATAATGTGGGAAAACACACCTTCACACAGGTAGGGGCGGAAGAAGTCTGAAAACTTTTTATCAAAATGTTTGGCAGGGTGGGGGTGGGGTCAGCTGAAAATTTCAATGCTGAGATTGGTAACGTGTTTGTTAGGCATAGGTACAATGGGCAATAAACTGAGGGGGGTTCGATGGATTGCAGACATGTCAGCTTTGATCTCTTGGAGCTTTTGCTTACTCCTGTTCTTGAACCTGAAGCAGAGTTGCTTCTTCACGTGGCTTTGGTATTCAACAACCAGGTCACAAACACAATATTCAGGAGACACAGGTTAAGAAAATCAACCTAAATATTATAGAAGCACATTGAGTTGCTGGGAGTGGAATTCTAGCAAGGAATGTTGATACTCATGAGGAATCTTTTCACTTGCCAAAAATAAGATTCAGGTTGACAAAAATCTGAAGTCTCATGACATTTTTGTGGCCTCACAGTTACTTGTTCCCCAAAGTGGACCATTTTAAATCGAAGAAGTGAACATGTGAAGAGAACACAATACCTCAGCTTTAGGTCCAATGAACAAATCACCTTCTAATGCTCCAGCCATCACTCGAACATGTTTTGGTCGTCCCACACTAGGTTGAATCAGAACAATTTTTTTAAGCCAGTGATGACACAAACAATTAATGAGGCGTTATCATACATGGAATCACAGATCGGCAGGCGATATTAAGTGTTTAGTTTGCATATTTAATTCAAGTTTAACTCGCACTTAATGATCACTTTCTTCCAAGTAATGTAACATCTACAAAACACATGTTAATAGCCAATTTACTCGAATGGACATTTTTCACAGCAGACTCCACTGAAGACACATATAATACTGTCCTCCAGTGATATCTGCCCAAACTAACACTGTTCAGAACAACAGCAGCCTGCGCTGGAAGTCCAGCCAAATTACTTTCTCATTGGAAAAGGGCAATTACTACACAAGCTAATAGTACTTCGGAGAAGAACAAAAACACAAAGTCTGGGACAGAGCCTGAGCATAATGGCTTCAATTGCTCAGTACACAACTAATTGACAGCCCACAAGATCACTTGTATCTGCGTGATCTATAAATATTTTAATATAATTTATTGTTAAGTTTGGACGCTTGAATTATTGACAAACAGGTTTCTCCGAAGGATTTCTGGAGCCACTATGATTTATGTTAAAGCAACTTGATCAAGAAGTAGCTTTCAGAACTAATGGCTAATGACTGAGCAAAATAAACAATTGCGCACCAGGGTTTCTCTGGTGTGAGTCCGATGCAACAGTACTTCTGGGTGATGTACAAGGAGTGTTTTGGGAATTAATGGGATTACGTTTACACTGTGTTTTAAAGTCTCTAAATTTTGGCTCTGTGAAAATACTTTGGGTTTGTACTGTTTTATCTTTGTTTATGTGCGTAATAAACTTCATTGTTAAAACCAAATCTGTATGCTCATGTTTCAGTCTGAGAATACATGTAAAAAACTAAAACAGAAAATACAATCCATCAAGCCAGATTTCAGTCTGTGATCTGATGTGTCCATGAATAATTGGGATCACAGCACATGTGAAATGTAAACGTGAAAATCTGGTGCAGTTATCGGGTACTTTTAAACCTGAACAATGGAGCACGTTTGTACTTTCCTGCATATCCACAAAATGTTGCATCTCATGCATTGCAGCATAGAGTCCCTTGTCCTTCGATTTTTCAGGTGATGAACGAATATTTTTGTCTTCAATCCAATAAATAGGGAAAGGTGCACAAGTAGAGAAGGAACCCTTCAAAATGCTCATGCTGATGCTGAAGTTTATGAACATACTTACTAATTTGGGAAACAGTATTTGGGGATCTGATCACCAGCAAATCCAGCTTTGACAACTCCTGAACCCTGGACATACAAAAGTAGAGAAGACAGGAAAAGTTACAATGCACAACTCAACTGAGAATTCATCACTGGATAAAGTTGTCAAAATGTACCAGCTGTCTATTGCACTACACGTTATCATATCTGACTGCAGAGTGGTTTTGCACAACATTCGCATTTGCACTTTCCATCCTGGACTAACAAACAGCGATCAGGAATTCTGCCTGATTTTTTTCCTCCACTAAACCTGGCTTTTGACCAGGCCAGGGGTGTTGGACGAGGGATGAAACTTGGAGTTGCGCTCTGAGGAGCCAGTGAAATCTGAAAACACTGTCTGTGCCCAACAAAAGCGATACAAGCAAAACCTGAGAAAAATTTTATGGATTGGTTTCGTCAAGTCCCAGACCATCTTTAGCTTCAATACTCCGTCCAGAAGAAACAGAAGCACCTTTTAATTGATGCATCTTCTTGACATTTCTCCTCTCTATCACAAACAAACACACACTTTACCGCACATACTTACTGTAATCACATTAAACTATAGGATGGTACAAGGTTAGCATTATGAAACTAGCAAATAAAAAAATCAGCTTGGTATCGTGTCCAAAGGAGCAAAATACCTCGAATAATGAAGTTTAAAAGTTAAAACCATGCTTTGGTTCATAAGCACTCTATGGATTTAAAATCATTCAATATGTAATGTTGAAACTCAATTGGTCCTCTATAGCCCAACCTATCATTCCATCTTTACTTCTGTGGATGATATTACAACTCATGAAACTGAAAAATGCTGTATACATGTTCAGCAGCCTATTACTGATTGTGAATATTCCCCTTGTGGGTATGAACCTGTGCCTGATCATCATGTCTCAGTCTAACTTAAGGCAGGGCTCGGAAGTTCCCTTCTTGAATCCTTTGCATCATTAATTGTTTTTTTCATGACAAATTGTACCTGATCGCTGTATTGAGTTAGTGTCTTCTGTTGCTATTTCTGCATTTGTATTTGGCACCAATCAGCCACACATCAAACTTTTGAAAAATCTAAAAGTTCACAGAGGCTGGAAATCTGGAATTAAAAACAGGCTCTGCATTATGTTCCAGTCCCCAGAATTCAAACACTGAGCAGGGTTCAGCAAGTTATCCAAGGGTCATTTTGTTTTTGACTAAGCAATGATAGAGACAACCTGACCAAAGGAAGATCATAGGAAGGACTAAACAGGATTGGGGAATGGGAATGCAGAAACTAGAGCAGCTGCAGGATGGACGAATCCAAAAAATCCACTTCTCCAAAAAAGTAAACTCATCCAACATCCACAATTGTTCACCTTGTGCCAACTGTAGACTTTTAACACTTGAGCTAAGATTAATTCATTTCCTACTCATGACTGCACTGAAAACTGAATGGGCTATTTCAAATTACCTATCCATATCATCACTTTTAAATATCAATCAAAAGAATTTAATGGCTATTGTAATTTATCCTAGCATCCCGTGATGATTCTTTCAGTCCAATCTGCATTTCACGACGTGCATATGAAAATAGAACAGGAGTCATTTTCATCTCTTGTCTTTGGTTGCTCCCAAGTTGAAAACTTCACTTATCTGTATCCTCTTCCCACCCCCCAATAACACAAGAGACTATCAGGGCAGATGAGTGCAGATGCTGGAATTTGTACTGAAAACCAAAATGACAGGAAATCACAGCAGGTCAGAGTGCATCCGTGGAGAGCCATCTAGACTCAAAACATTAGCTTGCTCACTCTACATGTGTGCTGCCTGATCTGCTGTGATTGCTAGTAATTTTTTTCAACTCAGGACACTGAGCAGCCTCTCAAAATTTGAGGTACTGCTCCCTTGTGCTTGAAAGCAGCAGGTACCCACAATGACTCTGTGGAACCAACCTGCACTTTTAGAGTCTTTCTTGGGACATGACTGTTGCTGGCGAGGTCAAAATTTGCTGCCGGCCCCTAAATGCCCTCAAAAAGGTAGCAGTGAACCACCTTGTTAAACTGCTTGACTCTCTGTGGAGTAGGTGCAACATCTGCAAACGATGCTCGGAAGAGAGGTCCAAGGTTCTGTCATCCTCACCACTCACATCACCAAGCACTTCTACACGTTGCTCCTGGCTGTTTTAATATCTCATATTTTCCATGCAGTCACAGGCCTCCCTTGTTGCTCGCCTCCCTCCTTCCCGTGAAAATGACTTATTATACACTTGGCAAGTGCCAAGTCCTGAGGCCACCTCCGTTTCCCACCCACCGCAGGTGCTGCCTGGCCTGAGCACTTTGATCATGATCACGGACGTAAACATCATGCTCCTACATTCTGAGAAACTGTAGGCCAACTGATCAATGACAACAGGGTTCTGGGTGAGGTCCTTTTAAAGGAGTAAAGTAGGAGGGAGAAGTAAACGATAGACAACCTTTCTGATGACGGGATGGGAGGTTAGTAGGGACATTAGTGGCAGAAGACGATAGGCCCATTTGATACTAGGGCGCCAGGACTTCAACTGGACGTTTCATGTCTTTTTTCCGTCGGCGAAATTAAAAGGGCGAATGTGGGGACCATCCCTTTAAAAGGCGGCCAGCGGCGGTTGCTGCTTCCACAGCGACCTTTTCAAAAGCAAGGAGCGGCCTACCCGGCCGGCTACTCACATTGTCGATAACCACGGGCTGGTTCGTAATGATATCATAGGACTCCATCGTCGAAACCGTTTTTGTTTTCGTTTCTTTGAGCTATCCTCCCTTTTTTTAACTCGCCTTTGCGGTGCCGCCACCCTGATGACTCGACTCGGCGCCTGCGCAGACCCAGCGACACACCGCCCCCAATCCCCCACACTGCGCCTGCCCAGTCTTGCGGATCCCGATTGGTCGCCGCAAGGCGGCGCTGCCAAACGGGCGAAGAGCGGCCGGGCGATTGGCGAAGGGCCCAGCCAATCACCGGTCGGGGTACGTGGACGGGGGTGGGATGAAAGTAGGCCGGGCTCCCGGTCTTTGATTGGTCCAGGTGTTTATACCCAATGGGGAATGAGATGCGACCAACGGCGGCGCCCGATTGGACAGCCGGCCTCCCCTCTCCGGCGGGGCGTGGTATTGACCAATCGGAGTGCCAGCTGCCGCGGCTGCGTGGAAAGTGGGTGCGAAAGGCGAGCTAAGGCCCAAAGCCTGGGGCTGGATTTGTGCTGTGATCCCGAGGGGGGGGGATCGGCGGCCCAGGATGGCTTCGGCGGCAGCAGCAGCAGCAGAAGGTTTCACTGGACTGGAGCGGTGAGTGGGAAAAAGAGGGAGGGTTTCTCAGCACTTCCCCACCCAGGAAAGAGGCTGCATTAGGGTCTGCATTCCAATCCGCCTCTTGTCCTCTTCCTCTCTTTGAGGATGACTTTGATGAGAAGGAAACAGAAAAATAAAATACTGGAAAAGCTCCGGCATCCTTCTTGGAGAGAGTGAGAGGGACAGAGTTCCCGTTTCCAGTCCAGTGTAACTCTTCTTCATGAGTCAGGATGACTTTTTTTTAATCCATTCCTCCTGAGCAACTCAGGCGACCACACAGTCCCAAAGGAGGGTCATCTCTTCCTCCCTCCTCTCCACACACACTGACCTGTACCTCACCCACCCCGCCACCTCAATTTCTCCAGTTCTGTCTGCTTTTGAGGGTAGCCAAGTGCTCCCAGACCCTCATGGCTAGCTGGAGGGGTTGCCTGTGGGGTGGGTACCAGGCCCTGGGTCTCTCCTCCTCCCTGGCTCTTTGTTCTCAGCCCTCCACTGGGGTCTTTTGCTGTGTGTGGGTGGGCACCTCGGTGGGTACTTCTCTGGTCAACAGGGGATCTTATCGGAGCAGGCTTTCAGGGCTTCCTCGAAGGGTTTCCTCGTTTCCCCCACAACCCCTTCATCGCACTCTGTAACCTCTTGCCATGATGAAGCTGAGAGCAGGGACAGCTTGTTTTGGGGCAGTGGGGTGTTGTTGTGTCAGACATATAGACGAAGTGTCCCTCTCAAAGCACCAGACCGGCAGTCACCATTGCCACTTGACCCAAGATGGAGCATTGATATCGGAGTGCCCATCCATCCATTGGATTTGCAGGGGCATTGCATGGTGATGATTCTCCAGGGATTCGAGGTATCTGCTGACCAGTACTTTTGTTTCTGTCGCACATACAGGAGGGCAGGTAAAGTGCTAACTCTGTAGAATGTGAGACTGGTGCAGGGTTTGAGATTTTTGTGATCAATCACCCTGTCCCTCATAGGTTCGGGGATTGCACTGACACATTGGGGGCAGTGTTCAGTTTCAATGTTAGTTTGTTCGCCATGTTGAGAGTGAGCTTCCATGGTATTAGAATTGATCTACATTGTCCTGTGACTCTCAAAGGATCTTGATATTTGTGGGAACAATGTTTATCAGCGAGAGCAAGCTTGCAGAGAATCTTTGTCTTCTGGATATTAAGTGTCAGACTCCTACCTGTCAACAATAGGTTGGATTTCCACTTTTGAGTCTGTGGAAATGCAAATGTCATCTATTATAGTTGAGTTAGCTTTGCTCGTCCTCTGGAGCGTCATGGATAATGTGTGGACTGTTGCAGTGAGTAAGATGGGGAACAACATTGTTACAAAGGCACAGCCTTGTTGACTGCAGCTTCCTAGCTCACCCTCCTCTAAGATTCATTGGTGAGGATCACCATGCATTTCTAATCGTTTCCTGTTAGCATGCAGCAGGCCAGATATAATGGTGATTTTCTGCAGGCAGCCAAATTTGAGAAAGACTGTGCCAACTAGGAAGAATCTGAGAGCTTTGTGTGGTCCAAGAGGACCATCTGTTGAAACTGTTGTTGTACTTGAATTTTTCTTGGACTTGTCTTCCATTGTGATAGCACTGAAGACCCTCTTAAATTCCCATAAACAGTCTTGACTCCTTTATTGAAGATGGTCACAATGATGACTGCCTGGGGATCTGCCACTTTTTCTGGATGAAGAGACAAGATTATGTATTCGTGCTGAGTACTTCCCTGTTTGGTATTTTAACACGGTTTCTGCCTGCACAGACTCATTCATTGTTGATTCTCAGGTCTATGGGTGTTTTGAAACTTGGGTCATTCTGTGGTTATGCTAAGGTAGTGGCAAGAACACACCATGGTGTGTGGTCGATACTGAGTCTTGGTTGCGCAGATCCTTGAACTGGTCCTTCCAAAAAGTGCTGACTGCCTTCTATCCTTGATGAATGCCAGTCAGTTCTCTGCTGTCAGTAGGCTGGGTCCATGGGTGCTCGGGCCTGTGATGATCTTGAGTTTTCTGAAGAATCCACGGGTCACGGCTATCAGTATGTTGTTAGACTTCCTGAACTTTTTCCAGCTGTGAACTTTTCTTACACCCAGGGTTTTATGTTGGACTTTGACCATCGTTCCTCTGTAGACCTAATTTATTTCCCTTAGGTTCAGGAAACTCTTGCACTTAGGCTAGAGTAGCTCCTCAATGACCTGGTTATTCTACTCAAAGCGGTCTTGATGTTTCTCGAGAAAGAAACCAAGAATCTCCCCACAGCTGCTGTTCATGATGGATTGAAGGGCAGATCCGATCCTATGAACATTATGTAGTTCCTGTTTGCTGAGTGTTGCCACGTGACAGGTGCTCACTGAATAGATTGATCTTTGCAGAGTCATTGATTCCATTGTTATTGAAGTCGTGGCAAAACTGTGCCTGCTGCCACTGCTATTTTTGGGCCAGGCCGATGGAGATAGAAGACCTAATTAGATAATTGGTCAATGCTGCAGTCATTCGCTCCTGCTATGGTGCAGGTCATGCAGATATCCTTGATTTCCCTCACTAGGACAGTGACACAGTTTACCAGATATCAATTTGTTTCAAGTGATAGAAAACTAAATGGAAAGCTGTTTGTCCCTCTGGCAAAACAAGGTGCTTGTTTTAGAAGGGAGCCTGATTGGGGCATGTTTTCCCAATGCCTCCTTGCCAATCAAACATTTCCAGAGTTTTGAGTCCCTCCCAACTCTCGCACTGAAATCACCAGGAAAATCATCTCGTCGTCTTTTCAGTCACAAAACAATGATAGATCATTTGTGGACTAGAAATCCTCTTTGGCCTTGTCTGATGCTTCTAGTGTTGGGGTGTACACACTGACCACTGATCTGGCTTGGGATGAGCTGTCAAGGGTTACAGAGCTTTTGTTTATCCCAAATTGGGGCTCACTGAGATGGTCAACTCATTTAAGATAACAAGGTGTAGAGCTGGATGAACACAGCAGGCCAAGCAGCATCAGAGGAGCAGGAAGGCTGACGTTTCGGGCCTGGACCCTTCTTCAGAAATGGGGGAGGGGAAGGGGGTCCTGAAGTAAATAGGGAGAGAGGGGGAGGCGGATAGAAGATGGATAGAGGAGAAGATAGGTGGAGAGGAGACAGACAGGTCAAAGGCCACTGGCTCCATCCCCGCCTCTTTGACCTGTCTGTCTCCTGTCCACCTATCTTCTCCTCTATCCATCTTGTATCCGCCTCCCCCTCTCTCCCTATTTATTTCAGAACCCCCTTCCCCTCCCCCATTTCTGAAGAAGGGTCCAGGCCCGAAACGTCAGCCTTCCTGCTCCTCTGCTGCTTCGCCTGCTGTGTTCATCCAGCTGGACACCTTGTTATCTCAGATTCTCTAGCATCTGCAGTTCCTACTATCTCTGGTCAACTCATTTGTTTTGTTTTAATGACGAAGACAACCCCATGGATTCGTTTGGCATCTTTAGGCTTGCCTTTCCAGAAGAGGTGTGTCCACCACTTTGTTCTTCGACTGGTGTTCTCCTGCCTGCCCTATGTAATTCAGGGCATCAATTTTGATGTTATAGCGCTGGAAATCCAGGTTTGTCAGTGTGACAGGAATTTGAGAGTGTGTTCCAGGTTCTAACCTTCATTTTGAGGGATTGAAGTGCCTATGAGTGGATTCCTTTAATGTGGGTTGGCTGATGCACACTGTTAACATGACAGTGCTGGCGCAACAATGCCTCTGTTCACTGGCAAAGGTCTGGAGAAGATTGATGACCAGGCTCTGTCACATGGACAGGGACTGACCTGCTTGTCTTGTTGGCCCGCCATCCCCTTCCAAATCATAACAGCCTGGAATGCTGCTTGTTGAAGCGTTGATGTCAATGCTTTTCAACATTGCACCCCTGTGAAATTAGCAAAGATTCACTGTTGCCATAGCAGGCTGAATTTTTCACAAATGGTTGATCAGATGCTTATAAACAAGTCATGTTAATGTTGCAGCAATACTTCTTTTTCGATCCAGGATTTCCAGTTACTCTTTCACCAAAGTGCAAAACATAAAATTCTCACTCTGGAAAAAGAAAGGTGTCCCTATGTAAAAACAGGCCTAATGTTTTAAGGACAAATGTTGTCAATTGTCTCACTTAGTGACGTGTTCGATTAATTATAGCAGGTTGTCACAGATTGCCTCATCGCAGCTTTAAATCCCAAGGCCCAGCTGATGGGATCAGCTGGGAATTGGTGCAGAGTGAGGCAAATGAGTATAAACCAGTCTGCACCCCCCTTTTCTCTCTCTCTCTCTCTCTGTCTCTCTCCACCCCTTTGAACATTGTGCTAATCTCTCCAGGCTTCATGTCTTTGCCCCTCTCTATTCCTCCTGATTCGCAGGCCTTGAATCCCACCAACCCTCCCTGCCCTGTCATCTGATGTTCAGCCCTATGTCCCCTACAACTTCATGCTCTTGACTCCTACCCCCTCTGACTCTCATGCACTCACTGCCCACCCCCCCACCAAATGTCATTGCCCCATCACCTCGCCCTGATGCCACTACCTCTTTCAGACTACCACCACCACCATTTAGCCTCCATCCAGGTTATCCCCTATCATCTCGTTGCCCTCTCTTCCTCTGACCTTGTCCCCTCTTCTGTAACCACTTCTGGCCACTCTTAGATTCCCTCTATTCCTCCCTGTAACTCAAATACCTTTGCTGTCTGTTACTGTGGTCCCATCTCTCAACTCTGTCCTGCACGTCTGTGGCGTCAGCCCATGTGGGAGTTTCCAGGAACGAAAGATTAATCTCTTGAGCAGTAAACACTTAAGTCCCAGAGCATACGGGGAGGACGTGGTGTCTCAGTGGTTAGCACTGCTGCCTCACAGTGCCAGGGACCCGGGTTCACTTCCACCCTTGGGCAACTGCCTGTGTGGAGTTTGCACATTCTCCCTGTGTCTGCTTGGGTTTCTTCTGGGTGCTCTGGTTTCTTCCCACAGTCCAAACCTGTGCAGGTTATGGTGGATTGGCCATGCTAAATTGCCCCATAGTGTACAAGGATATGTAGGCTCGGTTAGTTAACTATGGGAAACGCAGGGTTTTAGAGTAGGAGGGGTGGATGTGGTTGGGATGCTGTTAGGAGGGCCATTGTGAACTATGGGCCAAATGGCCTGCTTCCACACTGTAGGGATTCCATGAAGCATCAAAGGGTGCTGTCTCATTAGAGAGAGACAACTGGTGTAGAGTTTAGCCTGAGGGTCAACATGCGTGAGTGATGAGTTTGAGAAAGTGGGCCCTTGAATTAGTCTTGAGCCTGTGAAGGTGGAAGTTATTGGTGAAATGTTCAGGGGTGGTGGGGGTTGCACTTGTTTTAAAATGTAACATACAGGGGCATGCCCACCCACAGTTGACAATCCTACCCTTTTTGTCTTCAAAATGTTTTTCTTTTATTTTTTGCTTATGCCTATATTTAAGGAATGATGATAGATGAAGCTGCTATCAGAGATACACTGTTTCCTTATGTTTGATAGCTGTGTCCTTGATTGCTTTTGGCAGGAACTGCTGGGTATGCTTTGCCACTGACCTTGATGATCGGTCTGCAGAATGGGTAAGCCCATGTCGGTGTAAAGGATCCACAAAATGGATACACCAGGCATGCCTACAACGATGGCTGGATGAGAAGCAGAAGGGGAACAGCACGGGTCGAGTGGCATGTCCACAGTGCAACACTGAATATTTGATTGTCTTCCCAAAGTTAGGTGCGTACTGGACTTTGATCTCCTCCGCTCTCTCTAGGTCTTCAGCTGCCCCATGAAAAATGGAAAATTTACAAAAAAATTCTTTCCAACCACAATGTATTAATCTGTTGGTTTTTAGCCCTCCTATGTGCATTATGTATGTTCAGCTACTTCATAAAAATCCATTCTGCCCAGCTGAACCTAAGATTTGGCATCTGTCCTATACCGTGGCTTAAATTCAATCTCCCCAAAAAAAGGCCCTTTCGATTAAACTTTAATCAGCTCCTTTTATTTTTCATTAAGGGACGCACCGTTTGGTTGCATACTAACTATATTTTATAGTGTTACATTGCTATTAGCACCAACTTGGCAGAACAAGAATTGAAAAGCTATGCTATACACAACTCGCAAGATCATAGCTAGATCTCCATCTGGATCATTGTAATTGAGCCTACTGCTCTGATCTTGACTTGGAACGTATTGTAATAATTCAAGACCTGTAAATTGTGTTCATGAATGGTTCATTGATACACCGGTACACTGCTGAATTTGTTGACCATGACAGGAAACAATGTGAAATGGAGGAACTGTCTCGCTGTTTTAGTGATCAATCTTGATTTCATCCGATCAGTCTAAAGAATTGTCCAAAGACCATGACCAGTGAGCCCAAGGAGGAGATGTTAATAGGGGTGAACTTAGTTAAAAAGCTGAGTCTTAATGTTAGAATGGGAGTTGAACAAGTCGTTTCAGAACAGTTTGAAGTGTGGGAATGAATGAGTTTGAGTTAGAGACTGTGTAACTTTGTAACTTTGAATCTTGCTTTAACAGTATGAAGTGCATTGGAACAAGGTATCTTTAGGCTTGCAGAATGAGACTGGACAGATACCAGAAAGTACTAGAAAACAAACACTGACTGCAGTCATATGAATAAACTGGAGATGAATACAAGAAGAGCAAAAATGAAAGTTACCCAATCCTGTCCGAGCGCCAGAAGATATTTAAGCCTCGATAGAAAGTTTTCAAAACGGGAGCCTACACAACCAGCCTTGCTTTCAAAGCAATGTAGGAAAAGAACCCAGAGTATGCTGTAGTTTTACAAGGGTTGCCTTTGTACATAACTTTTCTTCATGGTGTTCTTTGTAATTTTGTTCTTCAGGTCCAGTTGTTTACTCCTTGCATCAAGTTGACCGCATTCTGTCCAAAGCCAGCCCTTTTGCAGCAGCCAGCATTGTGGTGGGGACCGTGTATTGGTCAGCAGTGACGTATGGAGCAGTGACTGTAATGCAGGTCGGCATTCCCATATCAAGTGCATTGTTCCTGGAGCCACCAAATTGTTAGCTTACTGGCCACTTCCTATCAATAATTAAGTCAGACCCTGACTTGATCGAAGCACCCCTTGTGTGAACAAGGACGTCTGTATTGCAATGGGGACTATGAGTTAAATCTGTGACCCTAAGCTGTGGGGAAAAAACGCACTCGGTGATCATTACTATTGGGTAGTTCTGTCACCTTTGAGGTGTTAAAGTATGAAATAACTATTCCATTTGCATTCATAATTTGCATGTCTTGTAATTGCATATCAATTTTATGCTCTACTAATGGGAGAAAAATTCTACTACTATTTGACTGTGAGTGCAGCAAAACTTGGACAATGTCAACCCATTAGGAAGGCCTCGCAGCAAAGAAAACGGCAGTAAATTGTCAGTTTGTTACAAGTAACTGACAGGATAGTTAGTCATGAGGAGAAGGGACAATATGAAGTGAGCTGGGCCATGCCTGTAACTGCTGTTTGTGGCCTGGAGCAGTAAGTGCTCACACTAGGTGACTAAGTAGGAAAATTCCCTTCATCGACACTGGCATTCCTTGCAAGGTTGAGAAAAGCGAATTATGGATTATCACATTATTACACTGGATTAAACAGAACAAAATACTTGAAGTGTGCAGAGCATCAGCCTCCACTGGCTTTGGCTGTTGGCTTCATTACGTGGATGTCCATTTACTCTGTGCAAGAACACAATAAATATGTATAGGGGCAGACCATATGGCCTTCAAGAAGCCTCTTCAGCTTCAACTTTCCCACTCACTCCCCAAACCCTTTGATTCCCTGATAAACCAAAAATATATCCATGCACCCTAAATGTTTTTAACAATGGAGCATCCACACCCTTTGCAGTGAGGAGCTACAAAAGCTCAGAACTCATTAAGTGAAGTAATTTCTCCTCATCTCAGACCTAAGTGATTGGAACCTTGTGCAGAGACCGATCAGCAAAATCTAGAATACTAGGACAATCTCCATGTCTATCCCATCAAGCCCCTTGAGAATTGTGTCTGTTTCAGTTAGATCATCTCTCATTATTGTCAGCACCCGAAAAAATAGGCTCAATTTATTGAACCTCATGTCATAGGACAACCACCTGAAACTAGAGATTGACCTTGTGAATGAGTTTTTTTTGTCTCCTTTTTTAAATATGAAGACTAAAGCTTAGTGCAGAATTTCAAATGTGGTCTTCCTAAAGTTTTGCACAGTTGAAACAAGACTTGTTTATTTTTGTGCTGCTATCCTGTTGCCATAAAGGCTATTTATTTAACATTGTTCATGTACGTTATGATCACTGAGCAACTCGTGCTGTATAACTCTATGACTCTAACTGCCACGTTCACTGCACTTTCTGCACTTCCTTGAGGCCACCACTATGTGCTTGCAACCAAATCTGTTGCTGTGCTCATTCCCTGCCCAGGTCCCTCCCATCCTCCTCCTTCAAAAGAAGAGCTTTCTCTGATTTAGTTGGTTACAAACTATTGGCTCCCATGAGTCAACAGGGATGTTTGATTCTGACTTGGAGTCTTCTGTGCCAACCAAGGCCCAAGTAGGACCGTGGGGGTCTTTGAGAACCTGGTCTCAGGCATATGAGTGGAAGCTGATTTTGAGTGATTAATGTCTCCATGCTGGCCACATGGCTTTGGGAGAGGGTGCTGCTACAGAATTATCTTTCTTGCCTTCAAATTTGGTGGGATTTGTCCAGGATTTTGAGGTGACACTTCCAAGTTGCCTTAGCCTCTGAAGCATCATGGGGTATAGGACTCAACTGTTTCCAGGTAAATCTTGACTCAGTCTCTGAGCAGTTGGCCTCAGACACAACAGAGACCCCACATCTGTCTTCTTCATGGTGAGTTTCCCCAAGATGGTGCAAGTTGTTCACATTTCATTCCCTTATAATTGGAATTGTACCTGCCACCATCACACTCTCGAACAGTAATTCTAGACCTTAACCACTTGCTGCGTCAAAACGTTTTTTGTCATGTTACCGTTTCTTCTTTTCAATTTTGTTCCCATTGGTGTCCTCTGGATCTCGAACATTTTGCTTGTGGTGGTTTCTTAATAGTTTCTCAGCTCACACCTCTTTTAGTTTTAAGGTTGTCCATTAAATCTGCTGTCAAACCGCTCCATGGCAAAGCTGAGGCAGTTCTTGTTAATCGATCCATTTAACTAAAGTCCTTCATCCTAGGGCCATTGTTGGAAATCTTTTCTATATCTTCTCTGATGCCTTCACATCTTTCCTACAAATTGTGGTGTCTAGAACTGGACAGTACATTTTACAGTTGAGGCTAAGCATTTTTTTTGAAAGATTCACCATAGCTTAGTTGGCCGTAGACTGTCTGCTTCTATTTAGAAAATCAAGGATCACGATTGCTTTTTCTACCACAGTATTGAAGTGCCTTGCAACCTTAGATCACTAGGTCCTTACGTCCATCACCCCCTCTTCAGGGTTTGTCTGCCCTTCAAATAATGTAGCTCTTAAAACTGAGCTGAAATCTCACACATAAGAAAAAGAAGGTTTGTATCTATTTAGCAAAGTTTTCTATTGTTAGGAATAAATGTAAAAGTAGGTAATTGTTTTTGAGCTATTTCCTCTTTATATCAGAAGTTAAGCCATGGCAGATGAAGAACAGAAATGAATAGCTGATATAGGGAACTTTTTTTGCTCAACACTGTGGGGTCAAAAGCAGTTGAGTTGAAACCTTTGCACTGATTTAAGACACAGATGGTGCATGGAGAGTTGAAGGGTTTGAGGGAAGGATGAAGGAAGATAGTCAAACAGCCTCATTCACCCATTCTGATATTTGTGGTCATCAATGGAGAGCATGCTGGCAAGAGCATGACGAGAGAGCATTAAATAAAATTGACAACACGGAATTCAGAAGAGACATCATCTTTTCACAGAATGTGGAACTCTTTACAACACAAAATAATTGAAGTAAATGGCTTAGATTTCTTGCAGGGGATGCAGCATTTAAGGGAGAAGGGAATAGATGGTGAATCTCAGTGAGGAAGGATGGGTGGAGGCTTGAATGAAGTGCCTGGGCCGACTTTCTGGTTTCTTTGCCAAATATCCTATGTAATCTGATGCAAACAAATTGGGTTTTGGAGAACATTGTTCGGTAACTTGATCTGTGTTGATCTTTCTGCAGGTTGTCGGACACAAGAAAGGTTTGGACCTAATGGAGCGGGCAGATCCACTGTTCCTGCTGATGGGCCTGCCCACCATTCCTGTGATGCTTATTCTGGCCAAGATGATCCGGTGGGAGGACTTTGTGCTTCGCATGTGGCGAAAATACTCCAGCAAGCTGCAGGTTCTCAGTAACATTTTCCCAGGTGAGATGGCAGGCTAGTCCTATGAATCACTGTTCGCTGTGAATTGTCACCATAGACAGGAATCCAAGAGATTTGAAATGGTTATATCATCTGCTCGTTTCTCATGGATGGAAAATGCTCATTGATAACCAGGTGTTTTTGCATTAATAAAATCTGTTTTGGCTCTTGCATGTCAGATGTGACGTCATACCAAAACTAAATTATTTTGTTCATTTTCATATCTCTGCATAGCCTTCCAACTCCCAATCTGTGTAACTCCTCCAACTCTGCAACCCTCCAAGATCTCTGCAGTGATCTAATCCTGGCCACCTGATCCCTAATTTTAATCGATTGATGGTAGTGCCGACTGCTGACTTGGTTCTCAGTTCTGACATTATCTTTACGCCTTTCTAACCTTTCCTTCCTCTTTTGAGAACCTTCTTAAAATTGACCTCGTTATTCCAGATGCTTTATGATCTCCTTAAGTGGCCTTGTACAAATTGGCAAACACAATGTTCCTGTAAAGAGCCTTGGGATGTTTCAGACCACTCTGTCTATCTTGTGTCACTGTCTTTTCTTTCTTTTTACCCTCCCAGTATTTCCATTAGTCTCATCCACTCTTCAATCTTGCAGTCTCTTGTTCTCATTGTATTTCTGTCACCATCGCTGCCGTTTCTGCATGGCATTTGAGGTTTTCTAACCACATTGTGTATCCAGCTTTTGCTGCGATTGTCCATCTTCTCTCTTGTTTGAGCGGTACAACTGAAAATTATGAATTGGTAAATGCTGGAGAGGACCTGATAGATAGATAAAACGAAGAACTGCAGATGCTGGAGATCTGAAACAAAAACAGAAATTCCTGGAGGAACTCAGCAGCTCTGACAGCATCTGTAAGGAGAAAACATCTGGAATAAGCATCACTGAACTTGAAACGTTAACATAGTTTTCTCTCCACAGATGCTGCCAGGACCTGCTTGGTGTCATTTTTAGTTGTTTCAGGCTGCATTGAGAAATGAACAATGAAGTCATCCCTGCGCTAGCAGTTTGACTGGGTGTGCATGCAGCACCTTCATTTTGTGCATTATTCAGATTGTGTTGATGTTTCAACATTGTGCAGGTTTAGGATGCCCCATTCCTCGTGTACCAGCTGAGACGAGCTATCAGAGTGACCACATGTCCGTCTCCCGCATCTTGTGTGGTGCCCTTGTGTTCCCCACAATCTCCAGCATGGTCGGCAAGCTCCTATTCAGTGGTGTGCACTCCAATCTCCAGCGAACTATCTTGGTGAGTACCTATACCCATGTCCTTGAATTATACCCCCCCTTGCTGTCCCGAATGCACTGACATGTGCTGGGACTCAGTTTCACTTGCAGCATTGGTCTTTGATTGTTCTGGATCATGTACTGCTTTGGCTCGTCATCTTGAGTGAGGCTGACTTTAAGGCTTTGCATTTCCTCAATGCAAACAGAACTCATCTTGGTATATCTTTGTTATAGATGTGCATCATTCAAGCCCAGCTTGAGTACATTTTCTAAGCTGATGCTGAACGTGAAGCATATTGTGGCTTGTCCTGTCCTTCAGGTTAGGAACTAAAACCATGGTTACGACTCGATTTTCCATTCCATTGATCTCGTGATATTGTTGGAAGGGGTTCCCTTGCTTGCCGTTCTTTCCACATCGGACACTGTCAAAAGTAGATGAGTTGGTCATTCACCTCTCGGCTTCTCTGTTCACTAACAAAATAACTCATGCCCTGTCAATGTGGAAAGTTCTCCAAAAGGGCCTATACAAGCTCTTTACAATCTTCATATATTTCAATGATATCACCTCAAGTCGAGAGAATATAGTTTCATACTGTTCAGATCTTATAAGCCAGCCATAGAAACAGACCCTTCGGTTCGACTCATTCATGCTGACCAAGTTTCTCAAACTAAACCAGTCCCGTTTACCTGCATTTGGCCCATGTCCTTCTAAACCTTCCTTATTCATGTACCTGTCCAAATGTCTTTTAAATTTTGTAACTGTACCTGCCTCTACCATTTCCTCTGGCAGTTCATTCCGTATATGAACCAGCCTTTTTGGGAAAAGGTTGCCCCATCAGGTACCTTTTAAATCCTTCTCCTCTCACTTAAAAACTATGCCCTCCAACCACACTGCATTGGTTGCAGTCCTCTTGGGCAACTGTGTAAGTCAGTGGGTATATTGTCAGCAAAGCCTTTGGATAATTGCAGTTAGATTTCAATACTCTTACAGTGTAATCCCATTGCAATCGTCTCCTGTCTTGGGGCAAGATCAGAGGTTTCTGATCAAGGGGCTCGTGTTGCGTTCAGAGCAAATGCTTGGAGGGGAAAAGCAAATCAGGAAGATCAAGATTTTGTGTTCTCTTTGAAAGTCTTACACTGATATAGGAAGTGTCCAGCCTGAACCACTGTAAATTCAACTGAGGTTAATTTGAGAATAATCCAAAGTGAATTCTGTTAGACCGACCAACGGCTCTCAACAAGGTTCTGTATCCTTGTGCCAATGGTTTTGTTATATTTGTTCAGAAATAAACCAATGTTGCATAGGCTTAAGCTGTCTCATCAATGATGGATGGTTTCAACCAAAGAATTTTGAATTGGGGTGAAGCGAATTCTGAAGTGGTTTTGATGAAATTTGCGAAGGGGCGGGTAAACTGCTTTCACTGAGGAGCAGCTTGGTAATTGGGAGGCTATCAATAGAACAGTGAAGGAGGAGGTTGGATGAAAATTGTCAGGACTTGAAATGATGAGTCAGTGCTAGCAACAGAATACTGAATCCAAATATTACAGTGCTGTGGAAAGTTGTTCAACAAAAAGGGTAAAACAGTGGGGAAAGCCAGTATAATGGGATGTGGACAGATCATTTAGAGAGTACAAATGGCTGTCCCCTGTCTTGTGAAATTCGAGTTGCTGGTGTATATATGAGTGGCATTGTAAAGCAAGAAGAGTTGGGCTGAAAATGACTAGATGCAGCGTTATGGATCCATGGCACTTTGCAGTTATCTTGCTGTGCATTAAGAGTCACTTTCTGTGTGTATGTCTCTCTCTCTCTCCCTCTCTCTCCCACCCCTCCTTGTTTAGGGCGGGATTGCCTTCATTGCCATCAAAGGGGCCTTAAAGGTTTACTTCAGACAACAGCAATATCTGATCCAAGCAAACCGCCGGATTCTCAACTACCCTGAGCAAGAAGATGACCAGGAAGAACTCCAGGCAGGCTACGAGGACTCTGGAAGTGACTAAAGTGGTGATTTGCTGAAATTTGAGCAGGTGTGAGCTAAGATAGACTGTTTTCACTTCAGCCCCTAATGGAATTGGCACTCTGGGACGTCACCATGCTTCCGGATAGCTGACCTCGAATACAGCCCCAATTGTTCTGGTCCCACTGGTTTCTTTTTAGACATGGACTGAATATCTCTGCTCGTTTTTTAATTGGCATTACATTGTTTAATCTCTCTTACTACGTTTTTTTTCCATATTTCAAACTCCTCAGCACTTTCCTGCGAGTGGCCAGGGTCTCGAGCAGTGCCTTGCTTGAGACTTGCTGTGGACGTGTGACACCATGACTTGGCAGGGCGTGATTTCTCTGATTGTAGGGTGCAGAGTTCTAATTGTGCCCCCTTGGTGTCTGTCTGAAAGCTGGGAGAACCTGTAGGTTGAACAGCATTCTCATGGCATTTGCTCGAGAGGAGAAAGCACTCAATCTCAGGTTGGTATGAAACGCCTGGCTGTGTAGATTATAAGAGAGATGGACATACAGTATCAGAAACATGGGTGGGATCTGAAGTGATCTCTGTGGACCTTCTAAGCAAATTAGATTCTTGGCAACTTTTAGTGCAGACTAAAAATTCTTTTGCCAGGTCCTGTGATATTTCAGGCCACAAGGAAGAAGGAAATGTAGTAACAAGTTAAGCTTGGCATTCAGTGGAGTTTCACAAGCTTCTGCCCCACAGAGGGAATTTTTATGCTCTTGCATGTGGCTGAAACCAGCAGATCAAAATAAGTGACTTAATTTTATAAATGTATATTTAAAAGTTGGGTAGTTTAGTTTGTTATTTTAAACCCACAGGAAATATTTATTTTTAATAGAATTTTCTGTTTTCCCTGCTGTGGCAGCCCAAATAAATAGCCTGTTTATGCAAAGCTACTTCTAATAACAAAGATTGAATAAAATTAGGCTTGTCAGTAAGTTGAATTTAATAAAAAATGCCAGCTCTGATTTGTTGCTTGCTTCTTCCTTTGGTATTAATGCTGTACCAGAATGAGTCTTGTTATCAGGGCCTCTTTCTCTCTTTCTGCTTAATTTCTGTGCATGTAGATTGGCTATTACAGCAGCTGTGCCACTCTGAGTTGACGAATGAAGCAAGAGCAATACCGTAACTTGTTGCCTGGTCTGCAGAATCACAAAGCAGTATAGAGTCTTTGTTCTCCCCACTACTGTGTCTGTTCAGGTAGTTTGGCAATGCATGGAAGGTGTGCCCCAGTTACTCTGGGGAAGCAAATGGAGAAAACGACACAGAGGTAAGAGATGGGCACTTTGAACTTGGCCGAGCCATCTGAGTTCCTCCCAGTTCTGGCCCCTTTGATATCACTGATTTTTCATTGCCCCGTCATTGACAACTGGGCTTTTAGCTGCCCAGGATCTAAACTGTGGAATTCACATCCTGAGCTTCACTGCATTTCCCCTGCTGCACTTCCACCTCACTCTCTTCTCCTTCAAGAAGCTTGTTAAATCTTGTACCAAGCTTATGCTCATCTACCTGAATTTCTTCTTTTGTCACTCCATGGCAAACTTTGTTGCGTGTAACATTATTGTATGTTTAGCCATGTTAGAGGTGGTATTGCAACCAAGTCGTTGCTGACATGTCCGTGAAATATACCTTCCTTGTAGCTTTGACTTTTTCATCCTAAACTCCAGAACATGAAGTCAGCAGGGCTATCCTGTGACTGGATTGTTCCACTCTCCTCTGGATTATGTACAACAGTGAGCCACTGGTTTATGAATATTGATTTCCAAAAGCTGCTCATGCTGAAATATACCATGATTTTATTTGAAGCTAGTTCCCACTGTTTCCTATTGCATCCTGCAAATTGCCTGTGGAAAGAACTGTCCAAATTCCTGTGGGACTTTCAGTCTAATGTTACTGTTTTAAAAAACAGACCGAATGTCAATTACCCAGTGAGGTCTTGATGGAAAGTGAGCACCAGGGGTATTGATCAATAAAAAAACTTGATCTTCAATATGATGTTTCCTGTGACCAGTCATCTTACAGTCAGGATGGGTAAGCCCAATAGAGCTGAATTTTTGCGAATGTGCTGATGATGGCTAAGACCAAAAACATTTTCACTTTCTCCACCCCCTACCGGGGTTCACAAGCTCAGTCATTTAGCTCATTCAGGATTCCCCAACTTACGTCATGTTGTCCAATAAGGCCCACTGATATGTAGCGTTTTGTACAGCATCTGTGCTGTATACGTGACAAATGACAACACCTTCTGGTTGTGGACCATTTTAACTCCCCTTCCAACTCCCTGCGTGACATGTCCATCCTGGGCCGCCTCCAGCGTCACAATGACACCACCTGCAAACTGGAGGAGCAGCTCCTCATATTCCGCCTCGGGAGCCTAGAGCCCGATGGCCTAAACGTGGATTTCACCGGTTTTAAAATCTCCCCACCCTGGCCTCAACCCATGTCCAAGCCTCCCTCTCATCCCTGCCTCCTTGACCTGGCACAACCTGTCCATCTTCTTTCCCACCTATCCGCCCTTCCCACTTCACTAAACAATCCCCACCTAACTTCCCCTACCCCTCCCCTCCTCTCTCTCTTTATTTCTGAACTCCCTTCCCCCTCCCCATTTCTGAAGAAGGGTCCCAACCCAAAATGGCAACTTTCCCGTTCCTCTCATGCTGCCTGGCCTGCTGTGCTTCTCTAGCTCCGTACTGTGTTACCACTGACTCGTGTCTGTTTTTATTGATGTTCACCTCTTTGATTTCTCCCAAAAGTGTTGCGTTTAAGATGCTGATTTACAAAGGTCATTGCGTCATTGCACAACACACCAAAGGCCTCCTTCAGTTCCGTAACCCAATGTGTATCTTTGCCTCATCAGCTCCTCGTTGCCCCTCAATCAGTGGCAAGGCCTTAAGTCAGTTTAGCTGATCATCTAGAAGTCCCTTTCTTTTCAAATTCACTGTTGACTTTAATGTTTCCATTAAACCAAAGCCTTTTGACCCTCCTAAATCTCTTCTGCATATATTCCACCACATATGTTTTGACCTACTTTGGTTTCCTGGTACCTAAAATCCTCAGTTCTTGTTATAGTGTTCGCTCCAGTTACCACCTCACCTTGCTTCTTCCAGTTCTGTGATTTATCCAAACCTTTCTCCTTCCCAGACACATTCCAAAAGAATGCACTATTCTTTGGTATGAACTCTTTTTCGTAACATGACTTGAAATGTTAACTCTGTTTCTTTCTACAGATGCTCCAGACCTGCTGAAAGTTTCCACTATTCTCTGCATGTGTTACAGCTTTCTTGTATCTACGTATTTTAGCTTTACAGTATTCCTCCAAGTTTGCTTTTAATTCTCACTATTTTCTACCCCGTCACTGCAGGATGAGCAGTCAGGCCCTCAAATAGGCTTTGCTCCAGGTTCTGGAATTTCTTGCACACTCCTTCTGCTTCTGTGCCCTGTCAAAACCACTTTTTTTTTTCCTTAAGAATGAAGTCTCTATTCAACCAAATCTTCAATTGTTCCTCCTTCAGTAAATGTCACTTCTGACTGATGACGAGCTGCGTGTGTATCTTTGTGAACATTGGGTGTATCATTTGCTGCTTCCCATTTTAAAGATCAGTTTATCCCTGTTCACAATGGACTCTAACCTGAAGGAAGAGGGGACAGACTGAGATTGGTGAGAACTTGAGTAACGGGAAATGGGTCAGAACAGGAAGGAATGGGTGTAGAATGCATACTTCAATTAAATGACTGAAAACAAAGCACGTTACAAGTCGCATCAACAGCGGGGTTTCAAGATCATGTATATTATGCATAATTTGATTTGATTTTGATTTTATTGTCACGTATACTCAAGCACAAAATACAGGAGTATGGTGAAAACTGTATAATGTCGCCACACAAGGCGCCATCTTTGGTCCAAGTACCTAGATACAGATTCTGAGGAAAGGGGTAGAAAGAAAGAAATAACAAAGGTAAAAGTTAAACATTGCAGTAATTACAATATAGTGTAAAACATACAAAATACGGTTAAAAGTTACATTGCAGATCTTCTTAGTTTTAAGTTAAAAATAAAGAAAGCTGAAAGTTTAAACATTATAGTCTTTCTTAAGGGCTTAGCCATAGTGGGACCACACTTTGAGGAATCACGTCAAGTTCGAAGTGTCAGTAGTTAGTTATACTTCGTTTAAATTGCAGATAGAAAGTTACATTTTCTGGCTTGTGTTTGGCCACCCCCATTGTTGAGATTCAGCACCTCCAAATTTTGTTCGTCTCCCTTGCACTAGGATTCAGTGTTGTTACTGCAGCCACTGAGCCTAAGTTGAATGTATTTGTGCATGGGACAAAACGTATAATTCCAAAAACTTGGACTCTGATTCTAATTTTTGTGTGCTGGTTTAACTTGCTCTCCACATTTAGGCCTGAACTTGAGTAAATTAATGGTGTGTACCGAATGTAACACAGTTTGCTTTTGTATCTCTTTTTCTGTCTCTGAATCTATTCTTTCTTTCCTTTTCCATTCATCTACTGTACCTGACATCACAAAAATCCAGATTATTTGGCTGTTATCACGTTGCAATTTTTGGAATCTTTGTGTGTGCAAATTGACTGCCATTTTCCTACGTCTTGCTCTTTGGAATCTCACAAAATTAAATGTAATTAATTCACTCATTGCCAATCAATGGACTTAGTCATGATGACAATTAAAAAGTGATGCTAAATCTATTTGTTCACCTTTATCGCCTTGCATAAGCGGTTTGCTGAAGACTGAAAGTTATGAAGGATTGGTCATTTTCTGTTTTTCCCCCTCTCTTCTGTCACAGCCTTGAGCATAAAAATCTTGATGCTGATTTCCAAATGACATGTTAAAACAGAGGCAGTGTCAGGTGAGCATGAAAAGTCCTATGGATCTATTTTGAAAAAGGGTGGGGCATTATTCCCCATGCCCTTGACCAATATTTACTGCTCAAACAACATCACAAAAACCAGATTATCTGGCTGTTAAGACATTGATGTTTGCGGAATCTTTGTTGTGACTGCCATTTCCCGATGTCACACCATGGACAGCACTGCAGAACTACTGAATTAGTTATGAAGCACTTTCGGACATAAAAGTTGCAAAATAAGTACATCATTTTCTTTTCTTTTTGTGCAAATACAGATGGTCTGACCAGACAGTTTTATCATTAATTTGTTAGGAATGTGTTTCCTCATTCCTGCTGTTTTGTGCCCTGTTGAGGGTTAGTCCTTTGGATATCTCCCTTTCTGGCCACTCTTCTGCCATGTGTGAACATGGCCTGACAACTGGGAGACATCACAAGAAATTAGCTGTTAGCTAATTCGACACACATTTTAAAGCAGGTGCTATTTTATCATGTTTCTTCAATGGACACTTTTTCTCCCCTTCACATGTTTGAGGGTGCAGACTCCAGAGTTAATCACTCAAAAGTAGAAGTTTTTTTTTAACCAGATAATTGTATATTCATAAACTGAGATCAAAGGATAGACTGATTATAATTTGTACTGTGTGTTAAGTATCGCATATTGCCAATATGTCGTGGCACCTTCTGTGTTTCTGGCCAATGGCTTTTGTTTTACTGTCATTAGTGAAGTATGCGCCAAGTCCTATAGCAGGAGATGGTTCTTTTACCAAAAAGGATTGGACTTGTACAACAGGTCTCTGCAGCTGAGCCAAAGTGGCTGAAACCCTTCACACAAGAACTGGACAGATTTTTTGGCTCATGCGAGATACCCTCTGAGAAGGCAGAGTGTTATGTTGATCACATCTTCTGAATTCGTTTCAATCACTTCAGGGGAGCTTTTTTTCATATTTCTCCCGAAAGATTGGAAAGAGTTTTATCTATCTATTCCTTCGAACAGTGTCCTACTTGGAATGGTGGGGAATGCAACTATGCACCATGGGCAACTTGCCTTTTGCTGTCCATGATTGTGCATATCTAACTCCACATGTTATAACTACAGTGCCTTAAGCATAAGATTGATGAAAAACTCTTTACAGTTGCTGCAAATAGAATAAGAATGTAGGAGAACTGGACACAGACTAGAATATGAACGTGGATGTTGAAAGATATGAAAGGGATCATTCTGAGAGTTGTCATGGTCTTGGCTGTTAGAAATTGGATGAAATGACCTTTGCTCCTATGGGCTTTGATTTCCCTTTCAAGAAAACTATGACTGATGTTCTACCTTAGCTCTGCTTTCATGCATACTGTCAATAATTTGCATTTATGACTTCAAAATACTCTAACTTTGCATCAACACGCTGCTGAAATGTAAATTTCAGGTTACTTTAAAGCTATTCTGTACTGTTCTTATTCCAAATTTGAGTCAAGTTGGGGATTTTGGACATTTTGACGTGGGCATCTTTCAATGAGTATGTCCATTTTCAACTTGTTTTGGATCTTTACCCATTCATCTACAAATATTGCTCCATTGCTTCGAGCAGAGTGAGCTGTCCACAATTCCAGAAACACATTAGGTTTTTAACGCTTGTGTGTGTTTGGCATCACCCATTTGTTCCTCAAATTCCCAACACTGCCCTTGACCTTGTACTTTGCAGTGGAATACATGGCGGACTTGCCTCGTTCATTGTTAGGCACAGTGGCAAAGAAAAGGATTTTGACTGAGTAGCAGTCACCATTTCCTAATTAGGAAATTCCTAATTACTAGACAGTGTCAAAACAATTTCTTAGGTAGCCAATTTTTAATAATTACCACCTTTTGTAAGGACTCTGGAAATTTTTGTGTTACAAGTAAAGACCATTTATAGCATGTAGGTAAGTCAGACTATTCACACAATATAGACGCTTCCTTCGCCTCGGGACTTATAATACGCACACCCACACATGCACAGCTGTGGGGTTTGGAACCTTCTGTGTTTATGAATGACTCATTGTGCAACACAGATTGTTGACAAAAGGTGGAATCTGTCAAGAAATGCAGTGTCATTCAAAATCGTGCATGTGAGGGTTAGCCTGTTCATTTACAAACGATAGGCACAACTAAGTATTTTTCAAGGATGATATCGAAGCACGATAAAGATGTCATACACAGGTAAAATGTTTCCTTTTACCAGACCAGGAGATACCTGTCATCTCTTGCTTTCCTGAATGCGAGCTATGACAGTAGGGTTTAATGGCTGCTGGCATCTTGCCAAAGTACCTGCTTTCCAAGTATCAGCAAGTTATTGAACTACATTGGGCGTTCTGTCTGAGGTGGATCCAGTCTTCACCCAAAGCCAACCTTTGTGTAGTAATCAGGAGAAGTGAGTTTAATGCACCTCCCAAACCCAGGCAACAAAAGCTTGCTATTTCCAATGCAGTCTCAACCTTTGGATGTTCGGGTCAGCCTTGAACATATTTAACAATATAACCTCTGCAGCCTTCTCCAGGAAAGTATTTCCTAGAGAATTCAATCCCTTCTGAGAGAAGGGATTCCTTCTCATTTTGGTCAAAATTGGGTGATCCCATACTCTGAGGTTATACCCTCTGGTCCAACAATGGGAAACAATATCTCCAGATCTAGTCTGTTCAGCTCCCTAACAATATTTTTGTGTTTCAGTAAGGTTTCTTCCAAAATTGTCAATCTTCTAAATGCCAGTGCATACAGCCAACTCAGTTAACTTCCTCACATGAAAATTGTTCCATGTCCAGGATCAGCCTCATGAACCTTCTCCAGATTGCCTCAAATATCTTTCTTTCGATAAGGGAACCAACATTGTTCACAATATTAAAAGTGTGCTCTATCTAGAGCCTTGTATACCTTTTAAGCAAGATCTATTTTTATATTCTATTGCCTTTGAAATGAAGGCCAACATTCTATCTACCTTATTACGTTCTGAACTTATACGATTTGCTTCATTCATTCATTCATGGGATGAGCGCATTGCTCTTTACGCACCATTTATTGCCTATCCCAGTTGTCCAGAAGGTAGTTGAGAGTCAACCACATTGCTGTGGGTCTGGAGTTGCATATAGGCTAGACCAAGTAAGGATGGCAGGTTTTTTTTTCCCTAAAGGACATGAGTGAACCAGATGGGTTTTTCTGACAATCAGCAACGGATTCATGGACATCACTAGATCCCAGGTCCCCCCAGAATGTCATCTGGGTCTCTGGATTAACAGTCCAGCGATAATATCACAAGGCCATCGCCTCCCCATAGCTGTATGCATGAGGAGTGGCAAAATTTTATACTGCAGCTTCTGAAATCTTTGCTAATTTAAATAAAGTTCAGCTCCTATTTTTAACCTGTCCAAGTGCATTTTCCCAGATTATATTCAATTTGCATTGGTTCCCTATTATATATCCCGCTTGATATCACGTTAAATAATTCTAATAAATTTATCAGACATGATTTCCTGGATGATATTATGTATTTCAAAATACTCTGCTGTTGTGTCCTTTATGATAGACTCTAATACTTTACCAATGACACATGTTCAGCTACCTGACCAGATACAACCTATTGTTTCAATCTTTTCCCTTTTGAATATAGATGTTATCTTGGTAGTTTTCCAATCCTCTGGGATTTTTCCAGCATCTAAGAGTGCTATCAGGTCGAGGGAACTTATCGGCCTTTACCACTTTAGTTTCACCAGTAATTTTTCTTTTGTGATTGTTATTACATTTATTTCCTCTCCAACTTTGATCTTTGATATTTTCATTAGTATTTTTGGGATGTTTTTAGTGTTCTTCTACTGTCAAGACTCAGGCTGAGTATTCTTTCAACGATTGTGCCATTTTTTTGGTTCCCCATTTTTTTTTTCCACAGCTTTATTGTTAAAGGGGCCTAGGTTTACTTTGGCCTCCTTTTTTTTAGATTCCAAGAAACTTGCATCCATTTTGCTATTACTTGCCAGTTTACTCTCAAAGTTTATTTTCTCTGTCTTTTTATTTTGGTCAAAAAATCACAATTCTCTGGCTTATTGCTAATCTTTGCCAAATTTTGTTCTCTTTTTTAATGCTCTCCTTAACTTCCCCAGTTAACCACGGTTAGTTTATCCCCCTCCTAGCTTCCTTATTTCTGACTAGGATGTATTTTTTTTTGCTGTTAGTCATGAACTATTATCAAAAAATCTGCCAACATTCATCTTTGCTGACTCCTGGAGGAAAAGTACCAGGTCGCCTTCCTCCTCTGATGTTGCAGTGTCTTTAGCTCAGACTCCAGTACCTCAATTCAGATTCAAAATTCTTTCAGTTACAAATATTTCTTACAGATGCATTCGCCATGGATTACCTTCATATTCAGCAGTTCCCATATGCTGCAGCAGTAATACAACGTCGTTATCGTTTTTTTTCAATTAATAATGCCACAGTCCCTGTACTTTGTCATTTACGATAACTGTTTAAACACTCTATCTGTGATATTTTCAGGTTTTTGAAAAGAGAGAAACACGAGATCTAAACAAAAACTGAAGATGTTACTTAATTTAGAGACAACAAATATTCACCATTCCGATTCACGAGTCAGTTGCTTTGCTGGACTTGTCACGTTGTGATTCGTGATGTCACTGCTGCTGGTCTCACTGTAGGTCAGCTTCTTAATCTGCACGTTTTATACTTGCCCACTCACCTCTTGCTCTGTAGACTTTACTTATTGTAGTAAACATTACTTAGAGTCATAGAGTGATGTACAGCACGGAAACAGATCCTTTGGTCCATCTCCTCCATGCTGACCAGGTATCCTAAAGTAACCTCGTCCCATTTGGCCCACATGACCCCCCCCCCCCCAAACTCATATACTGAGCACACTGACCAATAAAAGGAAGAGTACCAAACATCACCTTCACTATCCTGTCTATCTGCAACTCCAGTTTCAAGGAACTATAAACCTGCAACCAAGGTCTCTTTGGCAACACTCCCCAGGACATTACTATTAAGTAGATAAGTCCTGCCTTGATTTGCCTTACCAAAAATGCAACACCTCACATTTATCTAAATTCATCTCCAACTGCCACTACTCGGCCCATCGGCACATCTGCTCAAGGTCCCGTTGTACGCTGAGATAACCTTCTTCTCTGTCCATTACACCACCAATTTTGCTGTTGTCTGCAAACTTACTCGCCATACCTCCTATATTCATATCCAGATCCTTTATGTACATGGCAAAAAGCAGTGGACCCAGCACCAATCTTTGTGGCATACCGCTGGTCACAGGGCTCCAGTCTGAAAAACAACCTTCCACCACCACCCTCTGTCTCCTGCCTTCAAGCCATTTTTATCTCCAAAGGGCTAGCTCTTCTTGTATTCCATGTGACGTAACCTTGTCGAGCCCCTTTCTGAATTTAAAGCATTGGTTCTCCCCCCCCCCCCACGCTGATTTTCCATTTTGAACTAAATTCCCAGAAATATTAACTCAGCCTTTGTTCCAATGGGGCAAAGTCTTTTTTTCAGACTGACTGCCTGTTATTGACTTTGGTGAGGCCACAAAGGGATTTGAAAACCAGAACTCAGATTTTTAAAATTGAGAAGTTGTCCAGAACTGGGAACCAACATAAGCAGGGGTCTTAAGTCACTAAAACTTTGTCGGACTCAGGACCCAGCTAGCAGAATCTTGGATGACAACAAGATGTTACGTGTACAATATGGGAGCATAGCCAGGAGTGTATTGGAATCGCCAAGTCTAGGGGTAGCAAAGGCAAGGATGAGTATTTCAGCAGCAGACAAGTTAAGGCAGGGACATAGGCAGGACTTTTGCAAAGATGGCAACAGCCAGACTTCTTGTTGACAAGGAAATATCGTCAAAAGCACATTGATAAGAATCTTTGAAGGACTGTAAGAAGTCTTGCTCTTGATAAACACTGTCAATATTTGTAATTGACTGATGAAATAGTAGAATTCTTTTAGTCTTGCAATTTTTCTACAATATTTCACATTGATTATCAACCCTAGATATGCAGGGATATGTCTTGAAGAAACAATGCTGATTGCATGAAAAGAGGCAAAGCAATTAGAAATGAGCAAGTGTCAGTCCCTTCATGAGAGACATCTGATAAAGGTACAATGCTCACAGTGGGCTGAAAAAAAGTCCATTGCAAATATTGGAGGTTCCACTCTGAGCAGACTCTTTGCTGTCATTTTCAACTCAGGATTTCACACTGAACGGCAGGCAGGAACCACAATGGCATTGGTCCTTTAGAAGGCACAGTGCCAAATAAGATGTGGCCTGGAAATGATTACGTAAACAAATTTCAGGAACTGCATGGTAACCCTGGTGTTAGACAGCTGGATGCTGGGAGCTGTAGTTTCAAAAATGCTTCTGTCACTTCCCTTATGTGAGGACACAAACACTACAACTCCCAGAAGCAGTTTAGGAGTTAGGAGTTCATATTCCAGGGATTCTGCAGGATAACCACTTGACAAAATTCAGCAGCTCACATTTATTTTTATTTATGTTCTTTCTGTTTAAAAAAAAGATACCAAGCAGGAAGGAAGAGTGGGGTTCGTGGATAGTTTCAGAGGAGGAGGTAGAGTCAGTCAGTAGGAGGAGGTCACGATTGAGGTCAGGAGCATTAGGATTGAACCATTATCCTGCATTGGTGCAGTGGAGAAGCTGTGTAACTGTGAAAGGAAACTGCTGGCACTGACCAGGGTCCAATGCCACACAAAGCAGTTGTGTACAACAAGTTCAAGGTGAGGGCTGTAGGATGACAACCTGTTGGTCCTCGGATAGCATGTAATCAACCTGACTCTAGCACATTGCCTCTCCTTCCATCCCTCCCCCAATGTAGCCACCCCTTGAGTGCAAGCAATCAGAAAGAATGACTGTCAGGGACACTTGGCTTTCTTCCTTTCTTTGGTTTGCCCCCTAGGATGCATTGTTTGCAACTCACCCTTGGACCCCAATATTGTAATCTCACGACAACTGCCACCTGTGAACCACAAGTTCAGATTCACCCATCTGAAGGAAATACTAGGGAAGAACATGACAACACCGTTCACGTTTATCTCAGTTCCTGCTTCTTGAGAATTTGCATGGGTGCTAGTGGGGAGGGGGGGGGGGGGGGGGCCTGTTTCATAAGCACCTTATGTTCAAATTTGTGACTGTGACAAAAAAAGCTGCCAAGTTAGTGCATCTTTCAAAGGTGAATGCATTGCTGCAATAAACGCAATAATATAACTTTTCACTGTCACTCATACAGTGGTCAATGGGGGAAGGAACAAAACAGACAAAAACAAATTGGCCTTTTTTTTTCCGGAGAAAAAGAGACAAAGTGCTCTGAGAATGAAGTTGACGACCACGGGGAGTGGTTGAGGTGAATGACATTGACGCATTTGAGGGTGAAAGTTTTGCAAAGAGGCAAAGCAAAAAAAAAACACACACAAATAGGCTGAAGGTCACGTCGAAAAGGATAAGACAGAAAATACTGGGAATGCTCAGACGTTCGGGGAACCCCCTTTTGGAGGGGCTAGTTTCTCATAACAGGCGTCGATAGGGGTGGGTGCTGAGTCTTTCCAGCACCTTCTACTTATATTTGAAGTTTACAGCACCCGCAGAAAGCTGTACTTATTGCGGGAAGGCTGTGCGGTAGGCAAACGGGAGAAAAGCGGATGCGACAGCATAGATCTGGTGGGCCGAAAGGTCTGCGTTGCGAGCTCGGGGAACACAAGATGCGGCTGTCTCATCGCGGGCAAGCTTCAAAATTCCACGCATCCTTCCTTATGAAACCCCCCACCCCCCCCAACACCGACAGTAGCTGAGAGATTGGGGGGGGGGGGAATTTGGACACGGGGGAGCGAAAGAGAAAATAAAAACCGCAGGGGCGCCTTAGACCAATGTAAAACTCCAGAGTTTGCCTTTGGAAAACATTCGAGAAAGAAGCTGGGGCAAATTTCACCATGAATATAAAAAAGGGGGACGGGGAGGGAGAGAGAGAGAGAGAGAGAGGCTGGGCTTTGGGGGTGGGGTCCGAGACAACACGAAAAGGGGCCAAAATTGCCTGCGCAGATCAGGTGCAGGGTTTTTTTTTCCCGTTCTTCAAAAAGTGGAAAAATAGAGAGTCAGGGAAGGGGAGGAAAAAAAATTCTGGAGCAACCAGAATGCTTCGGAGTGTCAGAGCTTCAGTTCCGGAGTAAAGAGGCGATGAGCAGGTCATTAAACAGTATCTTGTGATCTTGCTTATTCCATTTTGACGCGATCGATGAGGAACTAAGGAGGAGGCAGAAAAGCACACACGCACACAGAGACACATACATACAAACAAAAACTGGTGGTGATCGCATTTCTGTCGCGGTTCGTCTCTTTTCGTTTTCGTTGCATTGGCTGGTACGGACGCGTTTTATTTATTTCTCTCCAACACCCCTCCTCCCCGGCCACTCTTTATGTGCATTTCTAGTTGGGAGACTGGTTCGTCTCAGCTGTTTCAACATCGCTCCGCTGGGTTGGTGACTGGGCAGGGCAAGGCTAGGCTGGGATCGACATCCCACGCCACGACCAACACTTTTTTCTTTCTTTTTGCCAGTTGTTATTCCCTCTGCACCCCTTCCTCAAGCAAGAGAGAGAGAGAGAGAGAACCCTCCCCCACCCCCCCCCCCCCACACACTTTGCCAATCCAGACATGCTCCAGAATGACACTAAAAGGCAATCAGTTTGCTGTCCCTACCTGGAGCAAAACCTGGAGTCCTTGAAAAGTCCTGAGGTCAACAATGGGGATGGGTCCTCCTCCCAGCTCGACTGTCTAGCTGCCCCAGCCAGCTTGGTTCTGCAAGATCAAGGAGGAAGCAATTCGACAGTTAACACTCTAGGATGGTCCACTAGTCAGACCGGCGAGGAAAACCTACTCCAGCAAGGAGTCCTGCCAACTGCCATGTTGTTACCGAAGATGGTGCACCTGGGACCTCTCTTTGGAGGGACTTTCCCCTCGGTGCAGCAGATGGGGCTGGCCCAGCAGCACAGGAGATCGCCTCTAGGCCACCATCCTCACCAAGGCACCACCTCGTCTTCCTCCTCCTCTAACGCCTCCCAAAGGAACAGCTACAGCCCGCAGCAGCAAACCTTCAGGGCTCTGAGCTGGGGCAGCCACCAACAGCAGAGTGGAGGAGGAAGCGGAGGCTGGGGCAGTGTCAGCAGTAACTGTGGGAGGGGACTGAGAAGATCAACTGGAGTAATGGGTATCTCGCACTCCATTCCTTCCTGCTCTTCCAAGAGGTCCTATTCCAGCCACATGATGGTGCCTCCAAAACTAAACAGGGGCCGCCCGGCATCGGCTTTGAAATCCTGGATGGAAGAGAACCCACTGAGGACAGATGGCAACAGCAACTGGCTGCCTCACCATCAGGTAAAAACCACTTTTTACAGTTTGTAAATCTTAACAATATGGCAGAAGTGCCTGTGTCTTTTTAACGTAACAAGAAATAGGGGCAGTGGTAGATCATTTGGTCCTTTAAACCTGTTCCTCCCCCTGTCTGATTTAGATGACTTTATTATTTTTATATTCACATCTATAACTCTAGGGAACATCAAGCTAGTTCCAGCTACCTTCCTTGGTAGGACAAAGCATCATTGCCAGCAATAGGTCCAGTCAACCATGATTTAATTGGGTAGGCGATGGCCTAGTGGATTATTGCAGGATTGTTAATGCAGAAACCCAGATGGTATTCTGGGGACCCAGGTTTGAATCCCGCCAAGGCAGATGGTGGAATTTGAATGTTTTTTTTAAGAAAAGTGTGGAATTAAGAGTCTAATGATGACATTAATCTGTTGTTGATTGTTGGGAAGAAACATCTGGTTCACGAATATCCTTTAGGGAAGGAAATCTATCATCCTTACCTGGTCTGGCCTACATGTAACTCCACACCCACAGCAATGTGGTTGCCTCTTAACTGCCCTCTGGGCAATTAGGGATGGGCAATAAATGCTGCCTAGTCAGCGATGCCCGCATCCCATGAACTATTAAAGAAAAAAAAATTCTCTCCAAGGCTTTTCTGAAGAAGGGTCTAGGCCCGAAACATCAGCCTTCCTGCTCCTCTGATGCTGCTTGGCCTGCTGTATTCATCCAGCTCTACACCTTGGTATCCCCCTTCTCTCCAAAGGTAGTATTTCTTGAGGCCCCATGAGAAATGATCATCTCCAGTCACCTGTGCCTCATGGCTCAGTGAGTAGATGCAGTGCTCGGTGCGGTATTCCAAGGACATGGGGTTTCAGCTTGACCCCTCATTTACAGCATAGTTGGGGCATAGAGAAAATATCAGCAGGATCTCATGGATTCCAAATTCAGCCTGAAAAGGGTAGCACCTTGACCATCGCGTAGAGTGTAGCAGACATTCAACCAACCTTCCTTTAGTTACCCACGTGTATATATATTTTTTTGTTGCCTCTCCTGCGTTTGATGTGCTATTGCTTCACCACCTTCCAGGATCTCTGCACCCATCCAATTCTGGCTTGTTATGCATCCCTGATATTAATCAGTGGCCCTGTCTCCTGCATCCAAGGCCCTCGTTTCTGGATATACCTCTCTTATCTGCTGTCTATCTTTCTTCAGCTTCACAACGTTCCTTAAAACCCACCTCATTGACCTAACTTTTAGTCCCATTTTTCAATTCTGACTCTGTCACAATTCTACAACATAGGGTTCCTGCAAATGCACTTGCAATGTTTTCCAACTTGAAAGCTGCCTTATGAATGCAGACTGTTGCTTTTATGGCTTCCATAAATAAAACCAAAGGCCACATAAATCAACACAATTGATTAGGTATCTACAATAGGCAATAGCAGAAGGAAGCAATGTTGATGCTTCAGCAAAGTCAGCCCAATTTCTCTCTGAAATACATATCTGTACCATTTCTGTTCTGCTGGGGCATCTACAGCTTGACAAGTATTTTGGGGTTTCTTTCAGATTTGCATTTTTCCATTTTTCAGTCTGCAGGAGAGGATTGCGGGATGTCATTTGGCACATTTCTGAATCTGAGGCATTGATTTATCTCCTATTTTGAAGGCCTTAAACCATGATGTTAAAGTGCAGTTAGATATCAATGTGTCAGATCGAGATAGAGGGAAATAAATTCAGGGTGACACAGTTTCTGGATTGTAGGTCATACTCAACTTGTGGAAAAGTGGCCTGAATTAGCAAAAGGACCGGCACAACTGCAGTTCATTTGCAGAAGTGGTGGAGATGTAGTCCTTTTCAGTGCGAAAGCCATTGATGATGTGATGAAATCGAGGATGTGGTGATTGATGATTAGCAAAAGGGATTGTACCTCATCAAGATGCAACCCTTCATTGATAGGGGAGAAATAAGGGAGAAAGGAGGGCCATGACGAGCACTCAGTTTCCAAATTTAAGTTGGGTCAATGAGAAAAAGGTTGCGTTCCTTGAGTGATAAAACTGATCTTTGCACTCGGCTTTAAATTCCTTCCCGAGTGCTTTGAAGATGAGAGCTTCGATTATAACTTGTGGATTTAGTGGACAGAGTCATTTTCAGTTTGTACTTGAGTCTTGAAATAGAAATGCCTTTTTTAATCTCTGGACAGATGCTGTCTGACCTGTTGAGTATCTCCAATGTTTGTTTTTATTTTAGATTCCCAGCATCTGCAGTATTCTGGTGTTAAATTTAGTGACTTTTTAGAATCTGCTTCATAATGTGGGGGTTGTGTTGGCTAGTACCTTCCAGTGCTCCTCATTTGGCTTGCAGCCTTCATTTTCATTCCCTCGTATCTTTGTGGGATTCGTGGAGCCAGGTAGCTAAATTTCCAGTGCATCGACCAAACATCTCTCCCTTCATGCAAGAAAGCGAACTCACCGAGTGCTAGTTTGAAGCATTGAACCCAAATCTTGGCAGGGTGGATGTCACCGGGTGGGAACTTGGAAGAGATGTCTTGTCTTTCCCCACTCTGCCACTTGCCTCAAGAGTGTGGGCACTGAGATTATTTGTCAACCGACCCTCAGTGACCGCTAATCCTCTGTAAGAAGAGGCAGGACTGAACCTATGACCTACTGTACTGTACAATGCATTTGGTGAAATGAGTCCCACAGTTTGGAGGTGGATTTTTTTTTTTTGAGTGTCTTGGAACAGAAAACGGTCAGTTTACATCAGTGATTGTCTGCAGCCATACCTTCAGCTCTAGAATTTCCTCTCTCATCCCTTTATCCTCCCTTTGTCTCTCCTTTTTTTTAAGAGTTACTTAAAGTTTACCAAGCTGGCCAAGCTTTTGGTCAGCTGTTCTCGTATCTCCTTAAGTGGCTCAGTGTCAAATTCTGTTCCTTTGAAGCATCTATAAATGCAGGTTGTTGTTGCTCTTTGAAGTCATTGTATACTTTTTTTTTGGTGGCATATTATCTTGTGTGGGTTGCTAACTCTGGATTCCTGGTGTCTCTGCGCTTGGGGTGGGAAGGCTGAGACTATGGGCTCGAGGGAGCTTGTTTGACCCTGCTCCTATAAAGAAGGCTGCATTTTTATTGCATTTTTTTTCCCTGATCTTTGGTTGTCTGTACTGCTTTACAGCCAATTGAATGTTTTGGTTTTGAAGCCATCTTGTGTTCTCAGCAAATTTCCACAAACAGGAACGTGACCATGACTGGATAGGATAATCTGTTTCTGCACTGCCAGTTGAGAGATGAATATTGGTCTGGGCATGAGGGCTCATCTTTGGAATAGAACAGGTTATTTTGGTATTCATCTAAGAGAATAGATTGGAGCTTCAGATGAGATCTGACTAGAAAGACAGCACCTGAGACAGTTGTTGGACTGTGGGGGCAGGGGAAACAAAAGGATTCCTGAACAGTGCCAGCACTTGGGCAGTCTCTTAAAAAATGGCAGATCAAATGAATGAAGTACAGCCCCCATTCCATGGTTATGTTTGTAGCACGCGGTGTCCATCTAAGCTCTTGAAGCCTTTAGAGAGGTGGGCACTGAGAGGGATTCAGTGCTTCATTTCCCCATCCAACGCCACACTGATTTAAACCCTTACTGCTCTCCCTACCCCACTTGTCATCACCAGTGACAGTCTGTGCATTGTCCATAATGGGCTTTGCTTGTAAATATTTCATTGGCTCTGTGGGTGTTTTACTGGTGGTGGCAGCTGCTAGTTTTAAAAAGGAGAAAGCAAAAGATTGTACAGTGATTTTGGTGGTAGGAAGGTCACTCCTGGTTCGAAAAAATGAAAAATAAAATCAACTACAGCCTCAAATATTTGTGGGAATAAATGTAGAGAGGTGCAGGAGGCACTTGGAAGCTTGCCTGGCAACCTGCCTTTTCAATGAACTTGGCGCTTAAGGTGTTAAGGACAACGGCACGGAAGCAGGAATGTAATCTTTTTTTCAGAAAAACAAAACACGAGGATTATGTATTTATTGGATGCAGTATCTCACCAGAAATCTGAAGGTCAGAGAAAATTTTCTGCAGCTTTGTCTACCAGCATTCAGGGAGTTAGGAAATACAGGTGCTCATTGATCTCTATCTGAAGGTGAGGAAGGACTCCTTTTCTGCAGTGAATCATATGGCCCAGAAAGATAACATCGTTATATTGCCTGTGTGAGCTAAGCTTCTCTCTCACTGTTGCTGAATGGGTGGTTTGGTGTGCGCTGTGTTGGATCCCTCGGCCAGTGAGTAGGTTAGCTCTGTTTCTGATCTCTGTCCTGTCGCTCCTTTCACAAACACTGTTGAGGGCTGCTTTGGGCTTGGCTGTGATGAATAGTCAGTTGCTGATAATTAGTCCATCTTGAGCATCAACCCCATTCAGACCTTCACTGCAGACCTTGGATGTTTTTGCTACCACCATTTGCTTCCAATTTCTGTTGTCCCTACGTCTTGTGACTTAATTCTTATCCATGTGTTCAAATCCCTCAGTGGCTTCTATCCTGCAACCTTATTCACCCTTTATAATACTTGAAGAGCTGTGCAGTCCTCCATCTGTAGCCTTTTTGTGGGTCACATAATTGATCTGACCCATGGTCTGTGACTCTGCTTCGAGCTATCTAGGTCCCAAAGCACCAGAACACTTCCCCTGGACCCCTTTGTCTCTACCCCAAGCAACTCTTTTCTTTCTCTCTCTCTCTCTTCCCCCCTAGTAATGAAAATGCTGTTTAAAATGTGCTCCTTAGACACTTGAACATTTGGTCATCTGTCAAAAAATCTCATGTGGCTTGGTGTTAATTTTTGCTTGATTACACACCTCACTATGAAGTGTCATGGGGTATTTAAATTCAGTGTGCGAGATAAATCTAAATTGTCATCAATATCTTCTCTCTTTTTGCCTAAGTTCAACACCTCCCAGAGCAGTTACCTACTGATGTAGCAACACATGATCATTTTGAAACCATTCCCAAGACAGAGTCTGGGAC